TTCTTAACATTATAGTACACTAGAGTTATGAAATAAATTCTTCACTCAGTTAATTGTTCTAGCTCTGTGCATGGTTATTTTATTGTGGCTTTTCAGAAAGAGACCCCATACTCAGTGGTTTTGTAGGCTTCAGACCTTTTTAAGTAAAAAACACTGTAATTGAAAACTTAGTGTTCTTTGAAGGGCAGCATGTCAGTTCTCAGATCTTTCATGCACTTTTCCTTTAGAGAGACCAAGTTGTCGGCCCCGTTAAACATTTGTATACATTAGGGGTATACCAAAGTTTAAACGCGCTCAGGCTCCGTTTTGTTTTTGATTTGTTTACTATATTTGGTGTCGTTAGCCTTATTTGGTTTGGTTACTGGATTTACGAAAGTCGTTTACAATCATTGAAGAACTGTTCTGGAATGTCCCTTGTGCGCGTGCTTTGCTCGAGCATTACTTTTAAACAGTATTGACCGGAAAAACATGCAGTCTTTAATGGGGTTCCCCCTTCATCTACTGCTGCAGAAGTCTTAATTTGAAGCTGATTAAAGTTTTATCACAACTCCGGAAAGGAGAATTGACTTTTGAATTAACCCGAATTGCTTGCGCAACTAAGATAACTCGTCCGGGAAAAAAACCTCGTTCAAAGCAAACTGCTCTCGTCCACAAACAAGCTAGTAAAGAAACGAAAACAAACTATCCTATTCCTAAAATGAAAGCGAGAAGTTCACTGGGTAAAAATTTAAGCAGTAAATTGTGCGAAAGTGTTTCGATGCTTCTGCACAAGATATTTTGTTTAGAGATTTTCATTACACTCTTGCAACAAAATTTGTCGGGATCATTTTGCAAAATTTGCGTTTTCTTGAACGTTGAAACTGTAAGGTTTAGCCTCCACTATATTTCTTGAATGATTTAATTGTTTTGGTAGTGATCAGACAACTGTCACTGGATCGACGGATGTACGAAGATAATGAAAAATTAGTGACGTCATAATCACATGGAAGATCTAGTTCAGGATAGCCGCCCGATGCGAAACAAAATGGAAGCGCGGCGAAAATATCGTATAAATCAACAACGTTGCTAACATGGACTCGTATGATGATTTATCTAAGAGGTTTTCAATTCAGTCTTTTCATGAAGGCTTTGTGGAGTTAGAAGAGCTTGTCAGTAGCGACAATGAATTAGTTTGGAAAGAACGCGCGCGGTGGATCAAACTCGAAGAGGACGTTGAAGAATGTGCGAATCGTTGGGGAAAACCTCACATTCCTTGCCTTACATTTCGTAGCTTGAGGGATGTTGAAACAAATCTTCAAAATGGAATAATCCTCCTGGATCTTCAGAGCAGTAGCTTGTCCTCCATTTGTGATGCTATTATCAACGAGATCAAATTATTGAAGAAGTTACCGGACGAGGAATGTGACGCAGTGAAAGCTCTCCTGTTGACAAGACATGAACATCAGTACCAACAAAGAAAGTCTCGCACCAACGCCTTTGCCCGCCCCCTTTCGAGGATTATGCCTCAGGGGCAACGCCCAAGACCACCGTCGATTGGGCATAAAGGTCACTTATCAAGCGTTATGGAAAAGGATTCTAGCTCTGAAAGTAAAAATGAGTCCGAGTCGGATTCAATGTAAGTAGAGGTTTTTCTCACGGTAATTTAGTTATCTTGACATAATCTAATGCGCTAAATTGTTTACCGGTAAAAAACACACACATATACACCGAAACAACGTATCTGCCCCATGAACCTGTTAACATTGGTTTTCACGAGCGACGGATTCGGAGTCGCGGGGCCTTTTGCGGAGACGGTTTCGGAGTCGGTCAGAAGAATCATAACGTTCCTGTTTTCTCCCAATTCTGTTCATAACTTCGTCGCTTACGATTTAGTGAAAACCAAATTGTCGAAGTCGGAACTCGAAGCGGAAGGATAAACCAATCACAATGCTCGTTGCCATGCTTTCCGGTTTCTCCGTTCTGAGAAAAGGTAAGCTTCCACACGTAGCGTATTTAAATCGTTTTCGCCCGTCCACATGAAAACACTAATATATACATTTAGCCAGGGCTAAAAGCAAAGCTCTCGATAATATTTAAACAAAATATAGAATCGTGTAATGTTAAGCGGCGAAGGCAACGCCGGAGAATGGTGAAAAACAACAATAGATCTAATTAGCAAAAAAAGCAACTTTGCACGTGCAGCACACTTCTTTTGTACATGTCTTTGCCGTTGTTCGAATGCAACGTGAAACTTCCAGAAACTTCTTAGTTACACGTTTTATGGAGGAAATGTCGTACGTGTTCTCGTTCACTTTTTTTTCACTGCCGCTCATTTTTACCTTGCATTGGTGGCCGCTAGCATTTCCCATTTTGTCACCGCTGCTACAAAATTTTCATGTTGTTCTTCCAACAAAAAAAAATGCCTCCTTTGTTTCTTATCTCTCGCTCTAGACCTCCAGCTCTGTCGCCCGTTTTCTCGTTGAGCTTCGCTGGCCTCCCGCCTACTTTCTCTTTTTCTCTGTCTTTCTCCTGCTCTATATTCCAAATTTGTGGACAGGACAATTAATCTAAACTAAATACTTTAGACAACACGGATACAGAAACAATTTCCGCTTTCCGTTTTCGTCTTTATTGGCTCTTCAGTTGTCTCTGCTTTACAAGACGCGGGTGGCTATGCGATTTCCCGCCAAAATAACCTCGAGTTACACTTGGGTTGCCATACCTGTTGATTGAGTTATTTTACATTGGTATGCCTGTGGTACGGACGGACGGTTGGGCGGTCGGTGTACGGTCACGTGATTACCAAGTATTCTCTAATGGGTAGATTACTTCATTTTCTTACCCATGGTGCTCCGCTGGCGCGCTTCGCGCGCGAGAGCTCCGCTAAAATGATGGAAATACGATAGCATCACTGATAGTGAAGGTTTTTGAAAACGCCGGCTTCCCGTCTGGTGACCGTTATTTTCGGTGCCCGAAACGCCGTTTACATGTGAACGGTAAGTTAAAAAGAAGAAAAAAACCTCCGTTTTCAAAAATATCCGGTTACGCGTGGACGGGGCCTAAGTTCTTCAGCTTCTGCATGGATAATAGAAAGACCAGTCTTTCTATTATCCATGGCTTCTGCTAGCGAATCCGACAACCTAGTTTTCACTAGATGGTAAGCAACCGAGTCGTAAGCGGATACAAACGTTGTTTTCACTAGATCATGACGCTCTATACCTCTTCCGACTCGATCGCTAGATAGTGAAACCAGCCTTTAGAATGCGGTGGATGAACTATGTAATGGACGAAGCTCAATACGACATCGGCCGGTCATTAGGAGCCTATAATAGCGCGGTATTAAGACAATCGTTTGTAGACGCCGAATGATTAATAAGCAACCTAAACGATGTTTATAAATTTCAGTGACAAACTGTTCGCAGACATTACCTTAATTGTAATACCTCGCTTAAGATAGGAATACCTTGGAAAGTTGCTATTCACGCAATTTTTGTAACCCTGGATTTCTTATTTTGAAAGAAGAGACTGCGAGACCACGCTAGTTGTTCTTTCTCGAGGGTGTTTTTTCTGGTTCAGTCTGTGAATGATCAATCATGTTTGGACAGGCTGTAGAAGTGAAGACCACGTATACGGCAAACGTCAGATTCAACTTGAGAATTTCTCAAAATAGAAAATGAGCAGATAAAAACAGCTCAAAACAATTCTTAAGGATAAAAAATTGCATAAAACTACTAATTTAGGTGTAGAATTAATGAACAGTAAACGAAAAGTCAAGAGGAAACTTGGTCACGTCGTACAAATTCGCGTTTGCCGTTTGACGTAAACGTGATACTTAACTCTCTATTACTAACCATAACAATAATCTAATAAACAGAAAGCTTTTGTTTTATTTTCAGACCACGGGACATTAAAGGTAAATCAGTGTTGCTACCCCCGCCTAAAACAGAACCGCAGTCACATGCAAATGTAACCGATTTAGCAATCCCCGTGACGAGCTTCTGTGGAGAAGACTTCGAAACTGAAGAACGCATAGAGAAGTCCGACATCAGAAATAAAATTCCCGCCGATGCGCAGACCACTACAGTTTTAGTTGGAGCTCACAATGGTTTGTCCTGCACTGTCAGCGCTTTTGTGAGACTCGCTTTTGGCTGTGAACTGGGGAACTTTGCTGAGGTAAACATCCCTGTAAGATTCGTGATTGTACTTCTTGGACCTGATGATGATAACGTAGATTATCATGAGGTTGGACGCTCTATTTCAACGCTGATGTCTGATAAGATTTTCCTTGAGTCAGCATATCGAGCAAAGGTAAGAGGAGTAAAAAAATCGTTTTTCAATGGAATGTGTGTAGTACGCGTTAGGTGTGCACCCTTCCCCCTCCCCTGCACCCCAAATAGTCCCCATTCTCCCCAGGTACCCAAAATTGTGCCTAAGGCTATGTTCATACTATAACGGAAAGCTTTAGCGCCGGCATGAAAACCATACCCGATATAGGGCTTCTATTCACTCATACTAATCAGCGGCGTATCCAGGGGAGGAGCCCAGCCCCGGCTCCTCCCCCCCCACCCCATTTAAGATAAAATGAGGCCGGAAGGGCTAAAAAAACATTTTCTTGAGACCGCCCCCCTTATCTCAGGGTCTGGATGACCGACACCTCCCCCACGCCTTACCTGAAAGTTGGGATCCGCCACTGCTAATGGTGATTTCCCTGCACCGATCTCCAAAGTGGAGAGTCACATATCGATCAGATTGCTGTTCGGCATACTATACCGGTTGGGTTTTCTTGTCGGCACGGAAAGCTTTACGGTGGAGTGTTAACAAAGCCTAAGATCAAACGGGATTCAAACCCCGATGAAAATTCTAGGTTTGCACTGTGGAGTTTGGGGGTAACTTTAAAATTGCTCGCCTCCCAAAGGGTATCAAGCTTATTCCTCTTCTTAAAGCATGCTCCATGAGTAAGTAAACAGGATTCAGGTACTTAATCTTAATGATACATATGAAAACAAAGAGTGTTTACTTTGGTCCAGGGTTTCAATAAAGTCGGTTATCGCATCACTTCCTCTTTTAACTAAGATGATTTTTAATAATGCACTATAAGGTCGTCAATTTACGTGACTTTAGATGCAATGCTGAATAGCATTTGAACGATGTAAGAGACGCCGAACGAGAGACGGAAGTCCTTTCACTTAAATTTACACCTTCGCGCACGCTCAGTAGTTCATCCCCTCATTCCTGGGACTCGAGGCTTGGGGTAACGAATAACAGTAATTTGTATGAACTTGTCTGAGTTGTCAAGCCAAGCCTCGACCTCGTGCGTGTTATTGTGTTTGTTCATTGGCGGGGGATGCAGGACAGGTCTGTACACATGACAGTCCCCTCGACAGTGAAACTCTTTTTCAATCCCACCAATCACTGCTGGCGAGCCTTGAGCGGTACTCTGTGTATTCGGATGAGATCAGTAGCTTTTTACCCGTGTGTAGGGGCTTTTTTAACACTCCATGGAGCTTTAAACCAGTATTGAGAGGATATAAACGCTTTTTTCGAGGTGTTGAACTGGAAGAAGCTGGTGGTCGAGGATCCTGCTCCTGTGGGTAACCCTGACACAACGAAGTTCTAATGAGAACGGGCCTTTTGTTAGAAAAAAGTATATCACCATTAAGAAGTGTTAGCGCCCATATTTCTAACTTATTCTTTTCTACCTTAGAGCCAACAAGATCTGCTGGATTCTTTGAACTGTTACATGGGCGATTGTCTCATCATCCCGCCAGGGGATTGGGATCGAAACCTATTGAATCAAACGGTGCCCATATTGGCCAATCAGGCTAAAGCACTGTCTTGCAGAAGAAGGCGCGGTGGGAGTACAACCAGCCAGGGGGTGCAAGAAAACATCTTCCGCGAGGTAATTCAAGAAAACGAGGCCTCCAACGACCCTCTTGCTAGAACAGGAACATTTTGTGGTGGACTCATACGCGATATAAAGAGGAGGCTACCTTTCTATGTCAGCGATTTTAAAGACGCTTTAGATGTACATTGTTTACCGACAATTATCTTCGTTTACTTTGCGTGCCTTGCGCCCGCCATCACCTTTGGTGGTTTGCTAAGCGAAAAGACTGATCAATGGATGGGAGTTTCAGAAATGATCCTGGCCACCGCATTGTCTGGCGTTTTGTTTGGTCTGTTTGCAGGCCAACCTCTAATTATAATAGGAGCTACCGGACCAATACTTGTGTTTGAGAAGAGGACATTTCAGCTCAGTATGCGTTTTGGTATTGAGTTTCTTCCTTGGCGTGCCTGGGTAGGGATCTGGGTGATGGTTATCTGTTTCCTCATCGTTGCTCTCGAGGGTTGCTTTCTCATCAATTACTTCACACGTTTTACTGAAGAAATATTTGCTTTGATGATTTCCATAATTTTTTTGTATGACGCTTTTAATTATGTAGGGTACGTGTTTCAATTGTATCCCTTGGGCGCTGATTTGTCAAGAAGCTCCTTTGTATCTTCTAACGCCACAAGTGTCACCGACATGCCAGCCACTGACACCCCAGATCAATCAACAGCAAATACTGCTCTTTTCACAGCAGTTTTAATGCTCGGAACCTTCTTTGTGGCTTTTTCTTTGAGAAAGTTGCGACACAGCCATTTTTTTGGACCAAAAACCCGGCGTATTGTCAGTGATTTCGGGGTTTTCATCGCCATTGTTGCTATGGTAACAGTTGACTGGTTGACAGAGGGCGTGTACACTCAGAAACTGTCTGTCCCGGATGGGTTATCGGTGACGTCACCAAACAGGCACAGCTGGTTAATAAACCCCATGGGAGTTGATGAACCTATGACCGCTAACGCCATCTTTGCAGCTCTGGTTCCAGCAATTCTCGTCAGCATTTTGATCTTTATGGAAGTCGAATTTACCGGGGTCATCTTAGACAAGAAAGACCACAAACTGAAGAAAGGAGTAGGCTACAACTTGGATCTCTTCGTCTTGGGACTGCTGGTTGGTCTGTGCTCAGTTTTGGGTCTTCCTTGGATGTGTGCCACACCTGTGCACACGCTGTCACACTTCCACGCTTTGACAGTGATCAGCACTAATCACGCCCCAGGGGAGCACCCTCGTCTCATCGGAGTCAAAGAACAGCGTCTTACCAACATTGTGATTCACCTGCTCATAGGCTTCACAGTTCTGCTGTCACCCGTGATGCGTCTCATTCCAATATCTGTTCTCTTCGGGGTGTTTCTTTTCCTGGGCGTGTCCTCTTTATCGCATATTCAGCTAGTGGAACGAGTCAAGCTGCTTTTCATCCCATCCTCCCATCACCCTGACGAGACTTACGTCACAAATGTCAAAACAAGCAAGATGCATTTTTTCACCATCATTCAAGTGTGTTGCGTGTGCGCGCTTATTGCCATGAAACTGACAGTTGCTGCTCCCTTGTTTCCCTTTTTTATCATCTGCATGATCCCGCTTCGCAAGCTTTTAGAGCGGTTTTTCTCCAACCAAGAGCTGGAGGCTTTAGACACTGAAGTAGAAGATGTCTATGACAGTGATATGGACGAATACGATTCAATTCATGTTCCAATCTGAACAGAAACAACGTTAGGATCCTTGCGATTGTTACCTTCAATCTGAACGTAATAAACATTGCATAATAACGAGCTGAGTTGAAAAAATAAATAAATCTCCGGAACGCACGCTTCATTACCATTAAACCAAAATGATATAACAACTTTTCAGTAATAGTCTAGTTTCGTTGCAGATATCTGCTTCTATTTTACTATATTCCTTCTGTTTTTATTTCGTTTTTAATAAAGAGTACGTAAAAATTACAAATTTCTTTTCATTAACCCTTTAAAAGATCTTTCACACGCTTCAGGGAATAAAGTGATTAAATAATGTGTTGCAGCTTTCTGAACACCCACTATTCTCACAGCGATGCAGCTTATCTTATTTCTGTTTCTAAAATCTTTCCTACTTTTTTAATCTTTTAATACCTATGGGAACGACATGCGTTTTCCCGGCATTGCTGTACAGACAATGAAAAGCAGAAACCCGTTTAAGGTGGAAGCCGGCCCTGTTATATGGAGACAATAACAAATGAATGCTTTCCAGTGTCGCGTAATTTTTACGTGCGTACGTGCGTAAAATTTACGTTCGCAAATAAAATAGAGGCAATGCATGAAAGGTCGCTCGTGACCGTAAAAGTTGAACCTCACTCAGCACTTTTTATCTTGCCTCTATTTTATTTACGTAATTAGAGTTTACGTGCTTTAGCGTGAGTAGCCAAAAATGCGTCAGTGGAAATCCACCTTAAAAGACCAGACAACCAGACACCCGTCAAAATGACACTTAAGTGGGGAGGGGTAAGTCCCCATAAGTTGGTGACTTTAAAGGTGGGAAACCTTGCTTTGCAGACACCCCTGTAAGATTTACAGCCTTGGCCCGAGTTGTTCCAAAGGTTGATAGTGCTATCCGCTGCGTAAATCTCTATCCAGAGGATAACACAATATAATTTCCCTAATACTTATTCGCTGTATAGCGACTTATTCGATGGATAGCACTATCCCATTTTTGAGCAACTGGGCGTTAAAATAAAAGTATCAGTGGTTGGCTGGTTTACTCACTAAGTTTTTTATAGCACGGAAAACTACCCATAGTGGACGCCTGTAACTGGTCCATAGGGAGTCTAGTTTAAAACTGTTTGAGGCAGTTTGCCGTACTTTGCCTCTTGCAATCGACAACTCAAATGAAAACAAGTTGTGAGTGTGATAAGGCAATATAGGTCATTTTGAAAATGGAACACGCTATTTTGGAACGTTTTCGTTAAAAACTCATTTCTGCCCTACATACTATTAAAGATTTACTCATCTGGCTGGCTGGACTAATACAGTCTAACCTTCACTAACGGTCACCTCTCTACAACGGCCACTTTTTTGGGCCGACAGTCCATACATTGGCTCTTGTTTAAATCTCACTAAGACGGCCACCTCTCTACAATGGCCACTTTTTTCGGCCGACAGTCCATACATTGGCCCTTGTTTAAACCTCAGTGCGACGGCCACCTCTCTACAATGGTCACTTTTTCCTGTCCCCAAGGTGACCCTAACCTTTTTCAGGCTCCGAGATAGTCGGGTCCGCTGAATTGAGAAAGCGCGAACAGGAAAAAAGGGGAGGGTACCCCTCCCGCCCCGCCAACTTTTCGCGCACCTTTCACTTTCGGGTCTTCCCCACTATCTGAGAACCTGGAACAGCCCAAGGTGGCCGCTGTGGAGAATTTCAACTGTTGTGGAATTCTCTTTTCGACTGGAAGGGTGTGGTCGGTCATTGTCTGACCAATGGTAGGTGCCCTAATTATGGCTTCTACAACTGTTTACTACTAAGTTAAATCTGGCTCATGCTGTTCAGACTCCGATACTTTCTCCCCACCATCATTCAATGATTCTGTCTCCACAGATTGCTCTGTAAGATGTCCTTTTTCCTGGTCAGTGTTTTTCTGCTCTTTTTCTTTCTCTCTTTCAGCCTCGTTCTCATGACGAGGCTGTTCCGTTTCCCCCGTGGTATCCTGTGGTATGCTAGGGCGGCTTTTAACATCTTGTTTTCCACGAGGTTTTTCCTCCTCCTCTGTAGATTCTTGCGGCATGACTGGCTCCAACAGTACATGTAATCTCTTAACGTCAAGTCTTAGCGACGTACTGGCTGCACTAGGAACCCCCTGCACGATACTCAGTGCAGAACTCGGAAAAATCGCCTCTAAACAGCGGTTTATGTACGGTATAAGCTGTTTACCCAATACTTGACAGAAATTTGCAAATGTAGCTCTTTCAGATTCATTGAGGGCGGCCGCTTCTGCTCTGAAAACCAATAAAATGATAGGAATATTAACAAGGATTATAAAATATATTATACCGCACTACAAGCAATTTTCCCGGGTTTGACTGTCAACGCTACGTATTTAACATAATTTGGTATCAGCTGTACAGTTGTATTTGATTGGCTTGCAGTATATGATGTAACTGGCCAGAGGAAGAAGTGATGGATAACAAAACCTTACTAGTGATAGCTTGAAGGCTCTGAGAAGATAGTAAGCTCGCGAGAACAAAGATGTGCTTATGGACCGTTAGCGACACATGATCCGGAACTAAGTTTCTATAAGTTTAGGAACAGGATAATGAAAATAGCCAGTTTTTCAACCCGGATTCCTCCTCAGCTTTAGGCAATCCCAATGGACAAATATCATGAACGGGAAATCTGGAAAACGAAGCTCGAAAGAGGCACTTTTTTTGCTTTCCACTTGAACGGATAATATTTCTTAACTACTGGTTGACTTCCTTTGACCTGCAAGCAATTTTTATTGACCTGTCGTAAACATTAACTTCCGCTTCTTTTTTTAGTCTATGAACATTCCTATTCCACATTTTTAACACTTAACGCTTTTCGGAACATTTGTATTTCTTACATAACATGGGGGGTATCAAAGTTGATCAGCTACGGAATAGTTTTGTCCGGACGATAATATGGGCTTCATGAAATCCTCGGGCACCCTGAAAGAATAATTTCATGACCCCTCACCAACTTTGGCAGGCCCTAAAATTTGTCGAGACCCTGGAAAGAAATACTTTTCCCTGATCATGGCAGCGGCGAAGGTCTGCGCCAAAAAGCGAATGTTTCCTGATGTTGCGCAAACCACTGTTGGTTGGCTTGTGTGTTGTGGCGTGGGTATTGTAAAGTGTCTTTTCAATCTTTTATAGAGCGATTTTCGTAAGACCTTCAAATGAAAACGCGCGAACAAAACAGAAACAACAAACGAACGAAAATAGTGCGATTTGATTGGTTTTGTTGAACGGATACAAACGCGTGTGGCTTCTGGTTGGTTAAGCGAACGCTCAGGTGAAAAAACTTCATGCCCGAGAACCTTCTAGAAATCAATCGATACTACGCTTTGCCGTCATACTGCAACACGATTGGCAGAGAAACGAAGAACCCATGTTTTGATCTTTTCATCCATTGGCTGATAAAAAAATAACGAACACTTACCGAAACCATTTTTCAAGGTCATACGAAAATCGCTCCATTACGTCATTTGGTGACTGTACCCGTCTGCAACACCAAGAAGTACCACAAAATATGCAGAATTCATTTACCTGTGGAAGGCGCATGTGGTGTGTATCACAGATGCAAAGGAGGACTGAAGAACCTCAGTGACTGGTGAGACAAGAGCTAATGGTGCGCAATGTCTCAGCTCATTGAAGGCTGATAAAACACTGTTAGTGAAGGCCGCAAGGGGTGGATGTTGTAACAAAGAGCTGGGAGGATGGAGATCTGCTCCTGTATCATCGGGCTACAAAAATAAAAACAACAACAATTAATGAGGAAAACAAAATAATAAGTAAACTCCACACTTTTTTATTTTTATCTTTATTTAATGCTATATTGCAGCACAGAAAAGCACACATATTATTGAAAACAAAAACAAAAAGAAAAAATACAGATTTCTATAACTACGTAATTACATATACAACGGATAAAACTGACAGTTATTTGAAATAACCGAGGTTTAATTTAGGCGTGACCTTGGTTAACTTACATAGTTTTGTCCACCTAACAATAAAGGAAAAGAGGTAAGGGTGGATGATTTAACTTTAAGGGGGACCGACGCATACCCCAACAAAGCGATTGGCTGGAGGGTAACAGGTGCAAGCCAACAAATTTAAATAAGGAAAAGTTTCCATTTGTTTGAAAAGGCGGTCGAAAATTACAGCGAATTGCTACTTATCTTTCGATCTCAATGACGGAATTTAGCTTACCGTTACAGAGGGACATGCAAGGATAATAGGTCACTTCCGAGTTCCAAAATCCCTCACTTTCAAAATGAGGCCAAGTGCACAACGAAAATGAGTTTGATTTGCATAAGAATGAAAAATCATTTCCATGTCAAAGGCTGTGCACTTCACCTCGTTTTGATACAGAGGCTGAGGGGAACTCGGGAATGGCCTATTTGCGTGAGTAGATATGACTCCGTACTTTAGAAACTCAAGGGAAAATGGGTATAAGCAATGCATGCAGTGATTTTTTGGCTCGTTTGATGTTTGGTGGATGGTATTCAAGGCAACCATAAACCGATCATACGCAACGCTTGTCCACCGAAAACGGTCCCAGAAATCGTTGCGCCGAAAGCTTGTACCCATTTCCCTTAAGAGTTTCTGGAGTGGGGAGTAGAACTTAGGCCAATCAAAGCAAATGCAGCGAACCAATCATCAGCCAAAAAAATCGCGGTGCCAAAAAAAAAAAACAAGAACACGTGCTACGTGCTATCACTACTTACGGATATACCTATCACATCGCATGAGGCGATATTTTTTTCCTTTACCAAATGAATGACGAATTTTACGATCAAAACCGGGAGAAGACACCCTGATTGCTTGAAGTAGTGGGAGACGCGGTGGCCAATTGTTAGAGCGCTGAGTTTTCCTAGTTGCTCATATACACAATGTTATCAAATTGCTCAAAAGTTCTTAACCTAAGTAGACAACTATGCTCATTTCGCCAAAGGCAGCTCAAAAACTGATCAGCTCTGCTGAGTTCTACAACGCCACATAAACCCAGTCTTGCAGAGGTGAGACATTACGTACCTTCGCTGTCATTGTAGAAAGCATCGTGGCCGTGACAGAGGATGAAAGAGACTGGGGAGAATACGACTTCATCGTTTCATTAAACCTTTAATTTCAAAGAATAAAGATCAGTTATTTAGATAAAGAAACCCACTTGAAAGAGATTAAATCGATCACATTACATCCAAAACAAATCTCCAAATCTGATGGACATACAAATAACGATTTCATGAAGTTTTCTCAACATTCACAGCAAAAGCAGATAAAATTGCCGAATCTCGGGAACATATTGCTCCAATACTACACATAACCAAAGATGGTAACAAGACTTGAAATAATAAAACAACGACTTGGAAAATCGGGATATTTTTCATAACTACTTTCTACACACGCAAACACAACGCACCTCTCCGTAGCATCAAGCACCGCTGTACTGAATGCTTTCATTGCAGCCGTGTGAAAGAGTGGAGGAAGTAACCCTCTGAAGTCAGCTCCAACACGGCTGAATGACAGACCAAAGTACATACATTGTCCCAAAAGTGAATCTAGTCGACTACCAACTCCACGCTCCAAGTCATACTCTAAAGTCTTCAAAAACTGTTGCACCTTGAAGCAGAAAAAAAAAGGCCGTCTCGTTTTAGTGCCCCTAACATCTTTATTCAAAGATGCTTCTCAACACGTACCCCTTCCAATAAATCTAAAAAATGTCTCTATAATTGGCTATGAGCAATTCGACCGGCGTTTTTTTTTTTTTTACGGCGAAATGAATTTTGAACGTTGTTTAGCCATTTTATGCTGATAAGCAACTGTTTTACTTTCATTTGGTACCAAGGAATTGTCCCACAAACAGATCACACAAGGGAATAAGCATTTTTTTTTTCAGGTGTTCCTCTCCCTACGAATGGTCGCCCGAAATCAAACTTGTTTGTATTCGAGGAAAGATAGGCCGAAGAGAGGTCGCAGGCTTAAGTTGAGTTGCCACCCCCCCCGCGAACATTCCCTTCCGTTGGACTTTGCCCCCTCGTTTGACCTTAAAAGCCGACAAACGTATTTTGTTGCGTTCCAAGTGTCTACTGTAATAATCCGACTAAGTACAACCTTCTAACATGGCATTTATTACTTTTCGCCAAAAGGACTTCCGCTCAACCCATACAGTTCCCTATCACAATCTTCTCTAGTTACTTCACAATCTTTCTCTACTTAAAAGCACCCTAATCAAAGGTTCATTTTTACCAGAGGCATTCAACATAGCGTACCTTTTGCACAACCCAGCAGTGGAAAAGGTTGCTATACATTGGGCTGTCCTCGTTTTCCATTGACAATATTGGGTCATCATCGGAGAATATGGCTCTGTATTGCGTAACAATATCAAATAGATGAACACGGCTTGTCTCGATGGTCTTGGTAATATGGTAATAAGGATCATCTGATGGAATTGAGGCCAGAACACTCTGAAGCCAAGCATCGCGTGCTTGAAGGAACTGTAAGGCGATAAAATTACATTAATATTAACATTAATAAAATTGCAGAAAAACGTTTTGAAGGCGATATCAAGTTTATGTCTCTATTACCATGGGGGTTCAATACTTAAGGCTTCCCGGTCCCTTAACCTGAAAGTAGCAGTAACACTATTCAGTAGCGGATCCAGACCTTCAGATAAGGGAGGGGAGGGGAGGGGGGATTGGTCATCTAGACCCTGAGATCTGAAGGGGGGTCCCGTCTCAAAAAAATTTTTTCAGCCCTTGGCACCTCAGTTTGGTTTAAAAATAAAGGCCCAGGTCCCTCCCCTGGATCGGCCACTGGTATTGTCCCTGACATTACATGACAGAAGCCATTCTGTAAGCAGACTTGCATGGATTTTTATTTTTTATCTTATGGCTCTGAAGCAACGACAGTCCTCTAAAGTAAATGGCCCAAAATCATAGAAAAGTAGTGGAATACCTTTCCTACGGGACACGTTTGACAGAGGTGAAGTACGAAATCACCACTTTTGAAGCAAGACGAAAACTGGACTGAGTTAACTCCCGCAAAGACTTATGGGACAGGCATGTCCCCAGTAATGATCCCAGAAACAATTGCTGGATGCATATTGGCTCCAGTTCCCTTTTCATTTGTAGAGTGGAGAATCAAGGAAGAGAGGACCAGTGTAACACCAGGAGTACAGCAGAAAAGAATACACAGGTACAGCCCTGAAGGCTGAGTTAGTGTTTAGTGTGTAAACGGTATTCCAGTGTAAATGCATTTTGTACTGTACATGTAATACTTGCTGCAGTTTAACACAATTTCCCAAATTCTCTGCCAGGTTGCACCAAATTTAACAGAGCTCCAAACAAGGGTGGATTTTCACTGTCGTGTAATTTTTACTTTGTAACCACGTAAAATTTATGCGCATACATGAAGGTATGTAAAACTCACTCGTGTAATCAAAACAGAGGTAATGTATGGACGGGGGCACGATAACGTAAAAGTTGAGCGAGATTCAACTTTTTCAGAAAATGTACATTTATACACGCCCTTCTATACATTACCTCCATTTTATTTGAGATTTACGGAAATACCTTGATCCTGAGCTCTGATTCAGAAAACATGTCAAGTCGTCTGAGGTAACCAATCACACGCAAGCAAGCAGGCAGCTGGATAGCTGATCGCAGCTGTTGCAAAAGCTGAGACAACATCAGCTGTGTTGATGACTGAACAACTTCCACTATGTTCTGAATGATTGGGATGTTAGAGAGTTTCTTTTCCAGCCGATGCACATATGATGATAGTTCCAGAGCTTCCTCGTAGTATCCATTGCGAACACATGAATCCATAAGCTGTAAATAACAACATAATTCACAACAATTTTTTTCATCATAGAGTGAGAGAAAGTCTCTACAGGCAAAAAACACAAGGATGAACAGCCATCAGAGTGATTCTAATTCTCTCTAATGTTGTGCTTACACAGATGGTACAGTGTAAACATAAAGGACTCTAATATGAGGGGTTGTTCACACTAGGTGCCTGAGTACTAGCAACTGGGTAGCAGCACAAACTAGTGTCGTGTTCACACCTGAGGTATCTGGCATGTCACTTTGTACATATTTGCCCCATTTCACCCTGTCAGATTCCATTTTGGAGCACAAGCACACTGGGAGCTAGTCATGGGTATGCAAAGCAGTAGTTTGCCTCAGATCCAATGCAAAACATGTTCTCAAAGGATCCCAGTTCCCACGTTGGTGTCCAAAAACAAAATCTCATTCTTGTAGTTAGTCATTGGTGCTGAGGTCGAATTCTGGCATGGGTACTTGAAAAAAGGGCATATTCACATTGATGCCCAGAAAGTACCATACTACGGGATTATGCTCAGTTGCCCAGTGTGAGCAATGTCTTATCCTTCAAGCAAGCTTACTATTCTCTCAAGGACAGGAGGCAAGAGATCTCATCAGAGAACTGAGCAAATTCCCCAGTGGTTTCCTTCCCTAAGTGTTCGCTGGTGAAAACCCTTGCTTCTCATGCCCGATTAATGGCAACAGGAAGCTCACTTGCAGGCACAGTGTAATACTCAGGCTCACCAGTGCCTTTTGCCTGGTTTTCATAATGAAAGTAAATTACCTGAGACCATCTCAAAAAAGACCAAAATTACTGAGAATACAAAACGTTTGTTTCATACCTGTGAAATTTCCAGAATCTCCAGCAACTGGGTATGGCGAGCTAATGTTAAAGAATTTAAATGGCGGCTAGAAGTGAGAGAAGTGACACAACCATTGTCATTTTGATATTGCACATAATATTTTGATCTAAATGCTGTTCACTGAATATGTCAAGAACAGGCTGGTTCATTAGGCTGAATTATAAACGAATGGCTGACTGACCTACTAAACTGACTAACTGACTAACTAATTGACTTGACTGACTGACTGACTGACTGACTGACTGACTGACTGACCGACTGACTGACTGACTGGCTGACTGGCTGACTAACTGACTGACTGACTGGCTGACTGACTGACTGACTGACTGACTGATGGACTGACTGACTTGACATGACTGACCTGACTTACCTAACTGACTCACTGACTGACTTGACAGACTGAATGGCTGACTGAGGGACTGACTGGCTGCCAGACTAACTGACTCAGGCAGCCTGAATTACTAAACTAACTTATTAACTGGCTCATTGACTGACCTGAGTAATTAGAAAATAGATAACTGGCTGAATAAGTAATGGTAACAGGACTGAGTGGAGTCCAATTCGGTTTGTAATCATACGAGTGATTAACAAAATTGGACGACCGCGTAGTGGGAGTCCGATTTGTTTAATCACGAGTATGATTACAGACTGAATTGGACGACACGAAGTTCCGTTACCAATTAATCATAACTTTAAAAAAAATTGTGATACAATAGGCTATTTTTTAAACCAAAACACAAGAAATTCGAAATTTTGTTTTGCTAGCAGTGAAAAAAAAAGCCATTTAAGCGCGCATGTGATGGTGGGTACTGTCCAGTTACTTAGGCATGACGTGTACTGTCCTATTAAACTGTCCAATAAAGGCTGAAATCAGAGCAGTTGAGAGCCAATCAGATTTGACAATTTTGTTATAGTTATGATTAATGACTCTATAGGACTAACTGCCTGACATTGTGACTGAAATGTATTAATTTGAACCGCAGTTGCCAGCAAGTGTTGTTAGATTTTGAAATAATTATGATGAATAAATGAACAGACTTTGTAGGAATTAAAGTAAGGCAGACACATGTAAAGCAGCTTGATTATACCTGCTATTTATTTCTTGTGCAGCCTTCATGAAATTGCTGCATGTTTCAGAAAATCTTGGTAGCTTGTCCAAAAGTGACTCAACATGACTTTCCACTGAAACAAACTTTTTAGGATAAAATTTGTCATGTATTTTACAAACAAGGAAGCTGACTGTTTACTTTAAAATAAAAGATTCTAGTGAGACTGATACAAAGATCAAAAGATTGGAACAAGTGGAGGTTAACAATAAATGAATAAATAAATAAATAAATATATAAATAGGATTTGAAAAATCAAAGTTTTGTGAGCCCAAAACAACGTTGCTTTTTTCAGATGCTCACATCCAGAAAAATTGCAACAAATCCTTGGATAAGAAAAACCTGACCAAAATGTGCACAAAGCACTGAATTTTACCTGCATACATGTACAAAGTAATTTAATTCAATCTTCAATAACAGCCAAAAAAGGGCAACATCATTTTGCCAAAAAATTGTACTGTTGAGTACTTACATCATGAAAGATCTCTTTAGAGCACTCTGCAGTTTTGATGAATGTCTTGTAATTATGAAAAGCTAAGTGTTCAGTTTGTTCTAAAATCTGTGCCTTTTCCTCAGCCAGTCTCTCTGGTTCTCTGCCTACAACAAATAGTAATAATTATTACATAATCAAATGAAGAAATGGTTCTTGCTCTGACTGGCATTTGCTCAATAAAAATTGTGCAATAATTTGACAAGCAATGCAGTAACAAAAAAATACATAACTTGATAAAAAACGGAATGTAAAAATGCTAATTTACAGTTCTGAATCGGTCAAATCGAAGCTTCAACATCCCACCCGCATTCCTAGCTGAAAGTCTAGTGATCGGAAAATTATAGGGATCAAAACTTACCTTTTCAAAAATTTCGGTCAGAAAAAAGGTTCCCGAAAATTCTAGGCGACCTTTTTAGGGTAAAAATCCGTTAAAATCGTAGGAGAGGTAGGCAAGCAAGAAATTTTACAACAAATGTTCCGAAAATTCTAGATCTCAAATCGTCTTCCGAAAAGATATTTTCCGAAAATTGATGTTGGGTGCCCCTGCTCATTTACCTGCCAGTATGCAAGTCTGCAGTCTGTGTTTGTCGCACACCGCCTGCCCGCATGTATGTTTATTAATTAGGTGCAGCTATGATGCACGTCAGTGAAATAGTCATGAATCACATGTATGGAATGTAGTAATCTCAGTAGGTGGGATTTTTTTATAGAACGCGCTGTGTGTTGCACGACAAACGACGAAAAACTGAGCCTTCAGTGTCCTTGTAGCAGCGATTTCCGCCGCTTTGCACGAGAGTTTTGTTCGAAATTATTTGCTGTATTTATAAAGATTTTGTTCGACAACTGAATGCATTTTTTCTGTCCTTCTGTCATTCATGTGCCTGTGAAATGTCCCTGGGGTGGGGGCATTTGATCACCCTAATGGACCCTAGTGTAGGGCATTTGAACAGCATTTTGGCGTGGGGAGGGAGGAATTTGAACAATAATTTTCAAAAAAGTCAAATGCCCGGGGTTTGCCCGGGAGGGGGATGTTGAAGCTTCGATTTGACCAATACATTATTTTGCTTTGAAAACCTCATGTAGAGCTCCTGTTAAATTTGCTGCAAAATTGTAATGATCTATTCTGTCACAAAATGTGACAGAATATATGGTATGATAAATGGCATTAGACAACTAATTTTGGCCCATAGAATGGCAATTCCAAATGTGGAGTGTTGAAACTTTGTTGAGATCATTACAAAAAAAACTTTCATAAATGCTATTGTACACTCAACGTTCATGTCCTTTGTATGACTTACTCAGTTTTTCCAGGCTAGAAGCACTCAGTTCAGCTAGATACAAGGCAAAATCTGGACTATCTTTCCACGTCTCTGAAAACCGTAGAAGTTTGTCAGCAAATTTTGCTAAATCCACAATAAGTGAATAACAATCATGAGATCTGTGATTAAAGTGGACTAACCGTGACAACATCAAGTGCAGAAAACAATAAAATTTGTTAACAATAGTCCATCAGGCAATGCTTTACTTGTCACTTGCAACCAAAATGGATCAGGATGCCAAAAGAGCTACAGCATTTCAAAATTGTTGACTAGTATAGTGGTGTTGCTACTTTATTAAACCTTGGCCACATAAAAACTAAACAACAAGTGATCGATCGATTTGAAAAATTAGCAAATAGCCTGCCATACCATTTATTTTCATAATTCTTTATTACCTCTAACGCTGAAATACATAACACTGGAGAGACGACAAGGCTAATTTGGCTGGCTGTGAGTGTTTTCAGGTGTTGGAGTCACTAAGACAAACGTTCAATAAGAGTGCTTTTTAAAAGGTCCTAAGAAAATATATCAATTACCTTGAAAAGACTCCTTAAACAGCGTCTTTAAGAGACCATCATCTTGGTCTGAGGTATCCATTTCTTCCTTTTAGTCCTGCTGATTTAAATATTTTGCCACGAATCACCTCTCTTCAGCGGCCATCTTGAATGAAGGAACACGCGTAGACTGTAGACTGGGGAGGAGAAGACTCGTCATGAAGACGAGGTTGGAGAAACATGCAAACAAATATGGCGGACAAAAACGAAAGTGATGTTCTTTTTCGTATCTTCTAAATATTTGGATATTGTAAGTTGAAATAATTCCTTTTTGTGTTAAATTTGCCAATTTTTAACAAAGAACTAGCTTTCAAGACGAGGTAATGGATGAAATTTTGTCCAAAGAAGACGTTAAGGTAAGGAATTTATATTTTAAGCGGAAAATTATAATTGAACACAAGCTTGGATCGTTACTTCCCTTTTGGCTTAGCCAACACCGCAGGGTTTGACACAGTAGATAACATTTTAGCAGTAAGAATTCACAATGAGAGTAAAAATGATCGCCATTATCCATACTACAGACCACGTACATGTATTCTAGGTAAGGAAACGTCGAGGTAATATTAATTATAACGGGTCATTTACACTGTATCTCCTTGGAGCCGGATTCTCGAAGTCTTCCCAAAACGTTAGGATTATATCCCAGCTTATGTTTATTGTTGTTCATTCAAAATATTTCTACGATTCTGATTGGCTCAAAGTCCCGGGCTTATTCTTCATACCAGCAACATTTGACCAAATTGGGGACACCTTTGTCCTTTGAGATATCCAATCAAATGACAACATCAATACATCATAACAAATGCCAGAAAAAGAAGTCAATTAAGAAGCCCTGGGTCAAGCTTGTGTTGTTCTGGTAGAGTAGTTTATTATTTGCTCAATCAATAATTGCTTGAACATTATCTCCCCCCCCCCCCACCACAAAATAAAATATATATAACATACATTGGAATCCCACTCTATGGACCCCCTCTTAACACGGACACCCATATATAACGGACAGTGTGTTTGTCCTGGTGGAAAACTGATATTTTTTTTCTAAAACTGACCTGCTTATTATGGACACCAGTTAATAGGGACAGTAGACACTTTTTGTGTCCCAAGTCAAACTCTCATGGGTTACTTGTGCACTGCCTATTTTCATTGTCACATTCCAGTGCTTAATATAGAATTGTACCCAGTTAAAATGTTGACAGATTTTTATGAGCTGATACAATTTTATTACTTAACAATATGCAGTACCAAAATAGGGTGACATGTTTGAAGCCAGTCTTACTTCCCGTGTTTGACCCTTGTACTGAAGCTCACAACAAAGTTTTCTTCCACCTCCTACTACACAAGTTTAACTCCCTGGGCTTTATGCTGCAGTCTTTGATCTTTCCCACTTTGTTTTGTGTGTTAAATATTAATTCTTTTTCCACAAATGTTATCAAACAGATTAAGTAAAGAATAGATTTTAGGCCATAGGCGGCATGGTTTTGATAGATGCTCAGTTCTTTGTGTTTTGTGCTCATTTTCACTTTCCCTTTCCTCAGCGCTTTGAGGAAGCATACAATGCTGAACTTGAAAAAGGACAGGTTTCCTCAGACACACAATTTAGCTATGCCTGGTGTTTAATAAGAAAAGGTGATAAGAATGACATTTCAAAAGGAGTGTTTCTTCTTCAAGGTTTGTACTATCAATATTTTTAATTATTATTAAGCTAGAAAATTAAGAATTTTTTATTTATTTTTTATTTTTTTTATTAGCATCACCAAAAGTCAGAACTAAGATCACCTTAGGGGATAGGTCGTTTAGTTGTGCTGCCTCCAGACTTTGGAACCTTCTGCCATCTATGATGCGGTCTATTTCCAGTCTAAATCTGTTTAAAAATAGACTTAAAACTTTCTTATTTAGTAAGGCGTTTAATTGGGAATTTTAGCTTTGTAAATTTAGGTTTTATTTTCCATCTTTAATCAATTTCTTATTTAAGGTGCAGTTGAATATTTTCATAGAAACTGCGTGGTACAAATTTCTATAAATAATAATAATACTAATAATAATCAATGTCATACGTAGGAATTTCTTATGGGAGCGTGAGAAAGTGAATGTCAAATTTCACAAAATTACATCTTACAGATGAAAGTTTTAGAATTTTACCTGTATAATCACAATTCTTGTGAAATTTGACGTTTATTTTCTAGGACTTCCATGAGAAATTTTCTTTGGTGTTACTACAGATCACTTATTACATCTTAAGCCCTTGAAAAATGTAAAAAAGAATGCAATATTTTTCAAATTATTCTGCTACAAGATTTTTGTCCCCTGAAAATTAAAATTACTCAATTTCCTGGTGGATTTCATCTTAAGTTGATTTTGGACTTCCATGTTATGGTCAACTGACAGCTGTCATAATAGGGTATCCACTGACCAGTGCCACATGACTGTATTGGGGGCTCAGGTGTACAACTCAATATTAAGTCGGATGTTTTTCTTTTAAAGTTTTCTGCTGACCAATGGATTGCAGGCAAAGAAAACTTTACTTTGGAAAAGACATTTCTTCAAAGTTCCCATGAGATATTCGTGCTACATCTATACCTCTATAAAATTAATGATCCTAACCAGCCTGGATTAGCATCCAAATTTCTTACCTTTTATTGACTTGTTATCTTATGCAAGTGCTAGTTGTTTTATAAGTAACCTTTTTATGTCTTTAGGGCTGTGTCACAGTGGCGCTGATCAAAGAGACTATTTGTACTTTATTGCAGAGGGTTACTATAAGTTAAAAGTAAGTTTAAACTGATGCATCTTATTTAATCACCTTTATTAGTGAACTCTGTAAGTACTCAACTCCACACATACATGTACCAATTGTGTAAGAATTTAAGCTTTTTTAGAGTATAACTTTTCTGTTCAACAGTGAAGGGTTGTGTTCATGAAAAAATATGATAAAGTTGCATTTAAAAGAAATCAAGCCTTAGCTAAGGGTTGTCACTATATGGAATGTGATTGGTCAATTTAGAGGGCAGTATTCTCCCCCTCGCCCACCCCCCATACAGCTGTAGGTTAGGGGGTGGTGACTATCCCCTGTTTGTTGTACTGATTCCAGCCACTTAAAGAGACAATAACATCTTATTCTTACTATAAAACTTTTCTCTCAAACAAACTGCAAATTATAAGAGTGTACCTTAGTTTTCCAGACATTTGTCAGAAGTATGAAAACTTAAGCTGTAAACTTACATGACTGTACAGTATGCTGTTCCTCAAACTCACTTCATTTACAAGTGATATAGGAAGTTATTTGTAGTGGACTTCCATATCTTTTATGTGGCAGGAATATAAGACAGCCCTAAGATACACAAACAGATTGCTACAGATTGAACCTAACAACCGACAGGCAATTGAGCTGCAAGAGAAGATCAATGACCAAATGAAGAAAGGTTAGTTAGCCTCTCTGGAATAACCACAACGTTGTCACGATCATGACTGGGGTCATTATTGGCTTCAACTGGGAAATAGGTTTTTTCTCGAAAACTGTAAATGCCAGACATGCTCTATAAACAAAGCATTTCTGGCTAGTTTATAGACGCTTAACGTCAAATGTCAGGAGACAAAAGTAGGAGGCAAGGACATCTCCCAGGCCTCACAAATTCTAGTCTTTTTTCTTTGTGTTATATCCATCACTGTTGTTTTGACCAGATAACTTGAACAAAAACACAGAGAAACAAAACAGTTCGAGTTAGTGAGGGGGTTTAGTTATTGGGGTTGATTGCAAAATTCGATTTGCCTTCCTAATAATTAATAGTTACTGATTTTTTAGCACTTCAGTGTATGGTGCAGTGCCAATTTAACTTATTTCATCAGAAACAGTAACAGCATAAGGCATTTTTTTATGAATAAATATGATAAAATGCGATCTGTTCGTTTTACTCATTAAAATCAAATTGCTTTAGTGTTGACGAGTGTTAGTTTTAGTGTTTTTACCCTTATACAACAAGAGCTAATGGGATGGCATCCGAGTGGAGTTAAAAGAACCAAAGTTTGGGTTATTGGGGTATATTTTAGTGACATTTTGTTCAAGAAAAAGAAATTTAGTTCAAGTAAGTGGGGAATTCGAGTTTTCCAAGTTCCAGTTGACTGAGTAAAAATGACTGGAAAGTGGGGTGAAATCCAAGGCTGGAAATCAGACTTAGTTCAAGTTAGCGGGGAGATCAGGTTATCTGTGTTCGAGTTATCGGGTTTGTACTGTATTGTTGTCTTTTATCCTTGCAGATGGTTTACTTGGTCTTGGCATCTTAGGTGGTACAGCTCTTGTTGTCGGTGGTGCTGCAGCTCTTCTGGGAATGGCATTTGCAAGTCGCAAGTGAACCTTTGAGTGTCATTAGTATATTATCATGATTGTAATAAGCCTAAGAAAATTGAATTAGATTTTACAAGGAAAATATGTACCAGATAAGAGGCAATGAATAACTTGGCTTAAATATTTTTATATTGAGTCAGTACTCTGTTGGCTTATTCTGAAAATGTTCCAGAATTTCCTTCATAATTATAGACATTATTGACTGAGTAAGGGCCAGTGTGCGAGGTGAAATTAAGCTGCACTTTTATGCATATTAAGCTGTGACTGAAGTAAAAAGAGCTTATCGGTAGATGTGGCCGGTCATTTACTTCTATCAGTGAGCCATTACAGGGGGCTATCAAGCATGAATGCACCGTGGAAGCGGTTTATGGTCATTTCGATAGGAGTTTATGTAGTCTAGGTGTAAATACCCTGTTCCAGGCTCTGAGATGGTGGTGGAAAGTCGTTCAGTAATAAGAAATCGGAAAAACGCGCGGGGGTTGGGGAGAGACAGGGTGGCGGCCATCGCCCCCTTTCCTAAGTCGTGCCCGTCTTATTTTCGCTTTGCTCGTTTTAATACGTTCCCCCTATACTATCTGAGATTCTGGCACAGGCTAAGGTGTAAATAGTTCCACGTACTTCGCCTAAAGAACGAAGAACATTTACCCAAAATGTTTTTCATGTTCACCCACAAACTATACTTGAAGTGATCGAAATTTTTGTGAAATTTCACTGCTTGAGTTGGTTGCGAAACGACCAAACTCGGTAAAAGCAGTGCAGTCATATCAGGGAGCTTAAACAAAGACATTTTTTTCAATGATACACGTCAACCGAGGTTGGAGTTTTTTTATTTTTGGGTGGCGGTTTTGCTCATATTTTCAGGCAAATGGTCACAATAAGAGTAAAGGCACTTAACAATGCAAATTGGTAGCGACAAGGTGTAAGGGGAAAGGCCTTACTTCTGGTTGACCTGCTTTGCTCAAAAACACCTTTAATTAAGCTCCTCAATAATAGAGACAAAAACCTCGGCGAAAACCTCGTCTAAGATAATGCTTTGTTTTGATTTAAACAAGTTATATGGTATGGCATAGGAAAAATTATTATTATTATTAGTAGTAGTAGTAGTAGTAGTAGTAGTAGTAGTTGTAGTAGTAGTATTGTTGTTGTTTCATACAATAGGCCCTACCCTGTTTATCAGGCCTTTCTCAGTGGTTAGGGGAGAGGAGATACTCAGGCTCAATAGGCCCATTGCTAAGTTGTAAAACTGAACAAAGCATTAAATTAGAGCTAAAATCAACAGGGAAAAGAAGGAAAACAAGTTTGTTATGATATACCATAATACCATGTATGCTTTCGTAAAGTTTAAGGTATAATATTTAAATAAGGGGTTCAAGGGTGTGCAGTAGGCTATTTTTAAATTCTAAAAAGGAAAAGGCTCTTTAAACTCGGCATAGTAGCCGATATTTTTTGCTTCTGCTGTGTTCCATTTTCACACGACATTACCTGAACGCAACCACAAGTGCACGGTGAAATAAATATCCTTTACGCTTGCGATTGTGCTTGCCCTTATGCTTGCGTCTTTATTGAAAACCAGGCTTTACTGATTTCAAGTAACTTACTGGGCTCCTAGAGGTGTAGCTTATTACAAAATAAACTATTAAAGGTTCCGGCAGTATCAGTTTGAAATTTGTCATTTCGTTTTGTTTCCCAAAAATTATACCATAAGTCATCGACACTCTCATATCACAGAAAAAAAAACAAAAAGTTATGTGAGAATTATGTCATTTATTCTTCAAATATTCATTAACTTGAACGTAGTGAGAGTAGTGTTTACAGAACAGAATAATGATACAATGATAATAAAGATCCCCAAAGAGAATATTGTGAATTAAAGACTCGACTATTTCATGTTGTGTCCGGATACAGAGTCTTAAGACTTTATTGATTAGGAAAGCTATCCGCTTTTCCTGCGGGCTGACAGCTTTCGAGTTTAAAGAAGTCAATCCCAGCACGCAGAGCTGCCTCGTTGTCAATGAAATTGAACCCCGGAGGGGGTCTTATTTCCTGAGGGGGTGGTGTTTGAGAGTCTGTCTTATACCCAGGGGTAAATCCATTGTAGGGACGTCTTACCCTGTTGGTGGGATCACTCGGGGATCCGGTATTGCGATTCCTGCAAAGTTTAGCGATGTGTACTCTTCTTTGAGCTATTTCCCAACAAGTTAACTTTTTACGAGGGAGAGTTGGCTTCACGTCGTTTTTCTTTTGAACTTTCACTTCATTGAAAGTAATATTCTGCGCTGTTTGGTTTTGGTTGTCATCTTTAATAACAGAGGTGTCGTTTGTAGTCGTATTTCTAGCTAAATGCTGTTCATCAAGATCTGTCGGGCAGTTTGTGGGCGTGTTCGTCCGCTCTTTTTGGAATCCGTTCCAAGGTGACGAGCTTGATCTGTACGCTTGGATTCCGTTGCTAGCTTCATACATTGAAGGAAAAAAACTCACTTTACATTCCTCCACTTTGTGTTTTTCTTCTAATGTTTTCGCAACGTTCTGAAAGAATAAAAGAACGCAAAAAGAAATTCACGCGACCATCCGCCTGCGAATAAAGCCGACTCTCATCGCTCCCCCTCTAGGGTTTTCCACGAGTTGCTCGAGAGTTTCCAAAAAGTTTCGCGTAATTTATCAGAAAATCTGTTAGCGACAATACAAGGAGCGATGAGAGGTAACCTGAGGTCAGGCCCAATTTTTCATGTCGCGCGCCTTGTACGTCGTAATTTTATTTACCAAGCGAAACGAAAATAAAGCCTGCATGATCTCTTCGCTGGCCAGACGACCATTTGACGTATAGGGAAATTGTGAAAATTGTTGAAGATATATAATGAAAAATTATCTAGATTATCGACCAAGAGAAGATAATGTGACAGAGAGTGAAACGCCCCGTCTATCCCTTGCGATATGTGAATTTCACCAAAGCTATTTTTAGCCTGAATTTCAGACATTAGGGAGTAAGCGACTTAAGGTAATGTCTGAAATTCAGGCTAAGCTATTTTTAGACCACCGAAACGCTTGAAATAAATCGAAAGTTAGTTTCCGGAAAGGTCAGAAGACTTAAATTCAGTGTTGTCAAGAGAGAGTAATGAGACATTTTGCTCTCTCTGTGTGTGTCACCATTATCTTTATATTATTGGGCTGCCTGGTGACAAAGCCCAATCGAGGAATGGAGGCCCTAGTCTGTGCAGCAAAAGACATTAGAAAACTGATCAAGTTACGTTTGCTGTCCAGTCGGCAGCCCAATTAACCCCTATCGTGGGAGTCTTGGTCTACATTGTTTGCTAGAGGCAGTAGTGCGTGGACTTGATAAACTGCAAAACAGTCCGTTTTTTTGCGTTTGCAAGTTCGCACGAGCAGTCAAACAAAATGTCTGGAGCGAGGCTGAAAACGGAGAGCAAGACTCGCCTCACACGTGCAACGGCTTCATAAAACTATGAGTTTACCGGCACAATAAACCATAGGTTTTTAACCAATCAGAACGCGCGTACTATCTTAGTTACTTTATTTATAAAATGTGATATCACTTAGTTACCAAGTTACATCGGTCTTCATTCCGTCCTTTCTCTTCTTTCACGGCGTGAGTGTTGTCTTCGTCTGAAACATCCCACATCTCCATTGCTACAGAATCACTAGGCTGAACAAAGGTAAAATAAAATAGCTTCATAGCTGAATCGTCATTATTTAATAAAACTTAATTCTCAATTGTAAAGAGTCGATTCCTTCTTTCTTTTGTCAAATGATCTTTCAATTATGAGGAGGAGGAGTGACTGGGGGTTGCCGGGGGCAAGGGTGGGGTGGCTCAGTGGTGAGGACGCTGGCTTTCGACTAGTGTGGCATGGTTTCAAGTCCCGGAAGTGAGGCAATAGGCGTAGTTAGCAAAGGCAACGCGACGACAGTGGCGACGGCGCACGCAGATTGATGCCTGGCTTGACAATGGCAAAGCGGCAAATTGAGCACCGTAAGTCGCACTCAGTTCTTGCCGCGCACTTTCTCCGCGTTGTCCGTTTTTAATTTACTAAATCTGCCTAATATGTGGATCAATTACACATGATGTGGTTGGTTCTCGTAGTTCTTAAGTTTTCCTTAGCTGAAATAATTACAACCTGTGCATTTTCACTTTTGCTATTGCCTATTTTTCATCGTGCACGTACGGCATTCATGGATGAATTCACCTGGTGTATATGAAACAGGTATGGCTATAGCCTACTTAGACCCTGTTTACATGGAGTGGGGGACCCCGTTCTAGTGGGGTAGGTTTCTTTTGTTTTGTGTCCCCTAGAGCGTGAAAACAAAAGAAACCAACCCCACTAGACCGGGGTGCCCCACTCCATGTAAACAGGTTTTAGTCCGTTACTTACATTCCAGTACTCAGGGCTTTCCCCAGGGGAATTTTTGCAAGGTTGGTTATCTTTAAGAAGTACTTCTGAATCCCAGAACCTCTCCTTTTAAAAAAAGATAAGTGCCCTAGTAATCGTATAGTTCCTCCATTTTAAAACATATCTCGGTTAGCAAGTGCTACTGATAATCAACATCGATGATAATTATCAAGAAACAAAACTATCAAAGGCTAAATAAATTATATATTGAGGGTTGAAAAAAAAAACCTTAAAATATAAAGGGGAAGCGTGGGACAGAGCATGAGAAGAGGCTTTATCATTTATTTTTTCCGACGAGCTTTGAGCGTGTCTGGAGCTCCACGCCCTTCCGCGTCCGCCTCGTCCTTGTTATCACTCGCCTGAAAAACGCGAGAAAAGAAAACCTGTTTTCATGCAGGCTGCGCTAGACCCCGACAAACTTGGAGGCCCCGAGGCAGAATTGCCCACAAGTTGAGCTTACAAAATTTTCTCGACCGTGAAGCGCGAGCCAAGAGACGAGAGAGTGGGAGAGTGGCCTACCACTCCCCTTCCCCTTGGGCCTACTGCCAGAACCGGAAATGAGAAGCGAAGGACTTTGAGAAAGTCTAGCATCGAGGATGTTAGAGCTTGACGGAGAGGACTTATGAATGACGCGACGTGAAGCTAAGGCTAAGTCACTGCCTAAAACAGAATCATATGGCGAGCAGGCAGTAGTGAAGGGCCTACATTCCTTCTAGATCGACCAAGACTAATGATGATGATACCCAGGAGTGTACTCCTGGGAATTCTTGGTGGGGATGTGCCTCCCGGTTATCCAAATCCAGACCCTATTTCGGACCAAAAAATGTCATTCTCCATACACTTTTTGAGACCTGGCCTCTAAAATCCATTCCCGTTTTCATACACTACCGTAGTTCCCTCGAAAACCATACCCGATTCTAGCCCAACGCCGACAGGCAAAGTCCATACTCGTTTTCAGACTGAAACGGCGCGAAAACCCTACCCTATGTGGCGGCACTTATCTATATGGCTTACATAGGGGAATACCCCCAAGGGTGATGATAAAGCAGTTAAACGAAAAATATTTTCAGCGATATGCGATGATAGAACAGTGGAACCTCGATGTAACGAAAGGGCCAAAGGACCGTCAAAATGTGTTCGCTATACCGACTGCCAGGTTTCGTTATATGTAGGTTATTTTTTATTCATATATTTTGTCATTACTAGGGTAAAGGAAATCGTTCGTTTTACCGAGGACTTCGTTATATAGAGGTTCCACTGTAGTGGGGATCAAAAAAGAACACTAACAAAGAAGTCAGCGGTAGTTACCATGTTGTATTGATGGTCTGTTTCTTGTCGCTCATCTTCAACCTGAGGAGATTCGCTGGCAGAATTATCCCACATCTCAGCGGTGTTATTTAGCTTACAGCACCAAGACACAACCAAACAAAGTTAGCATTTTGCACAGCAGTTTGCAGTTTTCGATATCACTTTATAAGCTCGGTGCAAGCAGACACAACTGAATCCCAACATAGTTGGGCCAAGGATGTTGGGAATGTTGCGTCTGTGTCGGCAGTGGTGTGCAAACCGATCTAGCCTCCAACGCAGACGTTCTTAAGCTACGTGGAAACGGACGCAACAACTCCAAACAATGTTGGGAATTGCTGGCCAACAATGTTGCGTCCGTTTTCACAGGGCTTTAGCAACCTCAACGGCGACGGAGACGCCTCACTTGAAGTCAAAGCGATATCATAGCGCTTTTTCAAACTTCATCGCTCTTGTTCTTGACATGCTGGCGATTTTTTTGGAGTTAAATTCTAAAAGAATGCACTTAAGTTCAGAAAAACAAAAACAAAATAGTTGACTTGTGTTCAACTACTTCATAAAACGTGAAATAAGGAAGTTGTACACGTTGAAGTGGTGCAACGAAGGCAAAGAAATATTAATGTGCTCTGCCCCCTGCTCCACGTTCACTAAAGGTTAGAGTACTAAATGTACTGCTTTGAGCGCACAACTGTAAAATGGTCTCCCTCGATTTAAACTCTCTCATACGAAGCACCTTGGCCCGTGTACCTAAGTGAAGTGTTCACCCACTTTTAGTTAAAAACAACTAGGAAACCACTGACGACCAACAAGCAAGCAAAGCAAGGAAAAGAAAAGAAAAAGAAAAATGAACTTCGAAGCAATCAAGATGACACTACCCTGCTGGAAGTAGTTTCTTTATGGCATGGTTATAAACATGTATGGAGTCGTTCGTAGCCTGCTTAGCAGGTGCTTAAATGTACGAGGGGCGCAAGATCAGAGGAAACAACAGGAAGCGCGAGAAAAAAACGAGAGAGGACACGCTTGTCTCTCACTCCTGAAGATGATAAGCCTCTGGTGGCGTGCTATGTGTTAACACGAAAATAACGAACACTTCGCAGAGAATACTTTGGAAGCTCTAAGAGAGAAAGCTTCAGAATTATATCTGATAACACACTTACCTCCAAGCAGGGGTTGGTTTGTTCAGGACTGTCTTTATGGATTCGTATATGATTTTCCTGAAAGGTTTTTAGGTCCAGGATTTGTGCCTGCAAAAACGACAACCAGCCAATCTACATATCATTTTCAGAATTATTAAATACGCCGTGTAGTCAAAGTCAGTCTTACACAGCACATATAATATATAGATTTAGCCAGAGCTAAAAGCGAAGCTACCATTCAAATTTACTGCAGACGACGGACTTGAAAACATTGCAAAGAAATCCACAAATCTATACTTATGAACTTTAGGAGAGAACCATATGACTGAAAAACATAAACTTCAACCTGCGATCAATTAAAAGCTAGCAACTGGTGGTAAAAAAAAAAGGGACCTCAATGATTTTGGTACCCGAGCCGGCGATGCGGTCATGTGACTTAGGTCAGCGGATAACTTGTTTTAACAGCTGTCAGTTGACGATAGTATGGATGTCTATGATCAAATTAAACACAGGTTACGGGCTCCCACGCTAGCTTGAAAGTTTGACATTTCACATTGGTTTCTCTGTGGTGCAGACGGACGGACGGACAGTCTTGTGATCACCAAACATTGGCGGATAGATGGATTATCAAATTTTCTTAAGTATGGGGCAACGCTCGTCCGCACTTTGCGCGCGCGTGGAGCTTCGCTAAAGTAGCGATTGGTAATGGCTTCCGTTTTTGCTCCTCAAAGGGAGGATGCCGTTTTACTAACAGCTCTTTAGGTTTGGCGCCATGTGGAACGTTCTCGTCAGGCCATCACCACTGGTCAGTGAAAGATCCTAAAACCTTTTCCCCCTTCGAAAGTTGGCAATGTTACTTGAATTGAGATTTAGCACGACAAAGAACATGATTAGGCCTACTTGATAACTATATTAAAGTTTAGTTTCGCCCATGTAAGGACAATAAGGTTATCCAAGACAGTCTTTGGATTCTGGATTCCACGCTGTGAATTCCGGACTCCAGGTATTGGATTCCGGATTCTTTGCAGTCCGTGGAACTTGGATTCTGGATTCCAATCGCTAGCGGAATTCCGAATTCCTTGAGCTGAATTCCGGATTCCAAAGCCCAGGTTTCCAAATTCCCGACAAGCCGAAAAATTTCCCGGATTCTGGAATCTCTGCATTACCTAACCTCATGGGGCGATTTAGTATTTCAGTTTACTCAGTATCACTGACGGTTTTCATTTGATCTGGGGACTGACAGAGGGAATAAAGAAGAAAACATATGATTTAAGATGAGCAATGGGGATGATCTCCATGTTTCATATACTAACCTCGAGTTTTTGGATCAACGCGTTCTTGTTCTTAATTCTTTCTAAAAATTCTTCCGACAGTTTCTCTTTAGATTTCTTTATTGCTCTGTTGGACCGCAGAAGTTTATCGACTTGCTGTTGGCTGCTCTAAATATTCAATAAATGAATAAACCAATAAATAAATACGAACCAGAAGTGTTAATCAGTGGGATGATCCTTCACAATTGCATGCAGCTCATAAACGCAAAGGCTGGCCTGATAACTAGGTGAAGACGAAAGAGTTTCGAAGTCATGGCTCGAAAAATCAGTTGAGGATGGTATCTCTGGTCTCATAATTGATAGGCTTGTTTAGAGTTATGAAATAGATAGGAGCTAACACTGATACACACTACTATACAGTAAGCACCAATTCCATTATCTTTTTTTGTTTTCTTGAAGCTACATGTATTTGGTATTAGTGCATGATTAGCACCTGTTTCACGGAGAAGTAAAATCTTTCTGGGCTAATAGTTTGTCTCCCGATAAGTCACGACAGTCATTGATCGCAATTTCAACTGCCTTTAACTGTTATTCTTGAATTAACTACTGAGCGAAATCATAGAGAAAAACGTAAAACCATTGACTGAGCCTATCATATACATACTAAAAGTTCAATGATCTGAATAGCCACAAATTGATTCAGAGGTCCCGACAAATAAATATCTCCACCTAGTCAGTCAGAATAGCCTTAAGTGTAGTTTAGAAAAAGCACAGTTTAGTACCTTTCATCTGAATGCAGTGGTCGCATAGAGGAGTGGAAGAAAACGTTAATAAAGATAGCACAAAAAATGACGGTCTCGTAGCACCCATTCAACTTTGCAGCGCAGACGGAGACTGACGGTTTTTAGGGAGTTAAACTCAAAGCGAGAGAGGAGCTCGGTATAAGAGCCTATTATAGCGTTCTATTTAATTTGTTGTGCTTCTTTGCTGAGTTGATTAGCACATCAATTGAACTCAGCTTTTAAGTCTTAATCAAGTTGTGCCAGCGCCGACTACCAGCCAAATGCAATACTGTTTGTGCTACTGAATCAAAATGACTTTCAACCAATTCAAGACAGTCAAGTTTGCATACTCACCACAAGTTTCTGTGTGATTTCTCTCAGCTGTCTGCTAGTATCATTCAGTTCCTTTTCAAGTTTGTTTTGCTGTTCAATTGGATTCTGCTCCAGCTTTTCCAGGAAAATCTTCCTTTGCTTTTCCAAGTTTTTTACTTTTGCTTGCAGAGTCTGTTATAGGCAACAACAAAAATAACAAAATAATGTTTGACGCAGTTCTTGTCATCCTAGATGTTCATCTTAGCGCTCCTTGAAAACGGACATGACAAGTATGGGCCCTTGGGAAGATAACTCCTTTCAGTAACATGGCTTAGTGCAGTGCCCCTTAAGACTAATGCAGTAGCTTTTTGGCTGCATGAAAACAATGAGAACAAGTTTGAGAATGACGATCAAACTGGGAGAAAAAATGAAAGGCGTGCCAGGTTATCCACTCATTTGTGCGGGGTTCCAGCGTGGAAATTTAATTATAAATATATCTACTAAACAAGCAAAAGGTGGACCGCACCTGCCTTTTAAAACGTACTGCAGCTCTCGCAGGCTTCAAGAATAGAACTGAAAAGCAACTGTGTTTTTAAACAAACGTGATTCACCTTGACTTCATATTGATGATCAGTCTTTGTCTTTTCATGGAAGAACTTTTCCTGAGCAAGCTGGGCCTCTAACTTTCGAACAAGGGCCCAAGGATCCTCCTTTTTGCAGCCGAGGAGCTCTGCTAGATAAAAAGTGATCGATAAAAAAGTGAGGAAATTGCTTACTGCAGAGCCACAGTCATCGAGAAAGTAAAAATATATTTTTATTTTATTCATTTTTTATTCATTGTTTCTTTAGTCACTCACACAACATAACATTTAACGCATTGAACAAACGTTTTTTTTTTTTAACTAAAGTACCGAGGAAGCCTAACGAATCTGGAAGCTTATATTAATAGCCCGGGGGGGGGGGTACTTCCTAGTAGAAGGCTAATGCATATCACTCATACAACATAACATTTAAAGCATTGAACAAAAGCTGTTTTAAACCTATTTGCCCAGGAAACCTAACGGTTAAAAAAGCTGGAAGCTGATATTAATAGCTCGGGGGGATTGTTCTTCCTAGTAGTTGGCTAATGCGTATGTACCGCTGGATGGGGTCGAACTGTTTCAAGACTGGATTAACTATTATGGGGTTGCATTTTTATAAGACTTACTTAAATGGTGTCGCACATTTTCAGGATTTCAGGGGTCAGAAAATTTAGGTATGAAGGGATTTAAAAAAACAGAAAACATTTAGTTGAATAAATGCGTCTCTTCTTTTCAGGATGACCAAGTTAAAAGGATTTATAAGGTAGATGCATAAACAGAAAGTGACTAGGTTGGGATTGCAAAAATCACTTTTTTCCTAAGGTGACTGATGGGGTATATAATTGGCCACAGAATAGACGATAATGGGGTAGTGGTTCTGAGAGGCCAGAGGCACATACCCAGCAAACATTAACCCAAGTTACCCCCGGATTAACAGGCTTCCTTAAGCGAGATTACCTCATTACCTGTTTGAGTACAAAGTGTAGAGAAAACAAAAACAGAACGACTATCAAGAAGATAACTGTTCAGATTAAAAAAACATTAAATATGGAAGAAGAGCTGGTTAGTGAAATAGGCAACAAATTCCAAATTTTTGGTCCTCGATAAATGATACTGAACTGCTTAATATTCTTTCTACACAATACTAAGCAGAAGATTGTGGTGCAAACAAATACATAAAACTAGCAATAGAAACCTTTGCAAGATAACGGCTCAAGGTGTTCTTTCTCAAACAGTATCCACCTTATTCGTACAAAGCAAATGGTCATATCACGGGAAGATCTATTTTTAAAATCTCACCTTCATCGCATCCCTGCTTCTTCTTCCTGTTTCTTGCCGCCATCAGTATTTGGGTCCTTTAAGTCGCCAACACGCCCAAAAACTGTTTTCAGCAAATTTCAGCTTCTTTCCTTTTTACCCTTGAATTCCTCAGTCGTTAATTCAACTAACTGCTCTGACAAGATTTCTAACGGAAAACTGCGCGACACGTATGACGCAACAATGCCAATAGATGACGAATTTACAAAAGAGCACTCCGTCGCGCGCGCATCAAAATTCAGGTTCATTTTGACAATTATAAAATGGACGCTGTAATAAAATCTTTAAAAAACGACGTTTCGGCAATGCTGCCTTCTTCAGGGTACAGAACAAAAAAGCCCGTTAAAAAGTTCGTTAAATTAGCTCACGTGCCAGATTACATCTAGCGCGTGTGCCGGCGCACGAGTAGGCAAAAAAGTGAGTATTTCACGTTAAACTCAAATTCTGGGCCTTTTCATTGCTCTTTTATTATTAAATTGTTAAGTAAACTCAATTAGGTCAGTATGACTCGTGAAATGGGGGTGAAAACAAATGCATCCTACATCATCCATTTTAGGAAGCAGCCTGAAGAGGTTAGTTCTTTGCGTCGCTGGTAGAGGCATTGGTCAACTGAGAAATGAAGCTTAAAATTGAAGATAAGGCCGATCGGACAGCTAAGGGCTACGAATTCATTTGCCCAATATTTCGACTAGATAAAACTAGTCTTCATCAGGGGCTAGAAAGGCTAATTGCCTTCAATTTTAAGTGTTACTATTTTATACTGCTGATGCCGATCTACGACAAGATCCGGCTTTCCGTCGCTGCTGTTTGTCCAGGTTGTCCTTGCAAGAATTGTTCGCTGAGAAGTGATGGTCTTTTTCACTGATAGTTGAAATCTAAACACAAAGAATTAACTGTTCGATGAGAAATTGATTGAATTTTTACGGACAGCTGAGAAATCGATCGTCTAACCCTTGCCGCAATAACCGGAACGACCTGGGTCCGAGGAAACGCAACGACATGACGTCACTCATGACGCACGTGTGGAAACGCTGTATTCGCATTTCGAACGAAGTGAAAAAAGTGCTTTACAATCTGGGATACATCGACAAAAGCCGATTTTCTTGTTGTTTCTGTTAAGCAAGCTAGGCTATCAACGTTTCCTCAAGCATGGGATTTCTCAAAGGTGTCTCTTGCAGAATTCCGTAGTGGTTTTTGCTTAGACCACATCTATTGGTGTCGGACAACGGACAGAGCTCGGATGAATAACTGTTTGTTTACAGCCCAGGAATCGATGTTTGATTCATCATGGACGAATTTGAAACAATAAATCTTGACAGTAGAGAGTGCAAGATTTGTAAGCAAGAAACTGGAGAAGAACTGATTTCTTGTATTTTACACAATCAGTTTTCTACCGCGGAAAAGAGCATCATTTTTTCGACCGACGACAGCGTTTCTTCAATCGAGGAAGGCGAACCCTCATTTGCTCATCGTGTTTGTTTGGAGAGATGGGACACTGTGATAAAAAATACTTACTTTCCTCAGCCAAAGAAAACTTGGAAAGATCGACTCAAAGGTTTTATAACCACTGGATCTGCAAATAACAATGTTACAGAAACATGGACCCCAGTTGATTATAATGTTGGGCCAGCTTCGGACCAACCTATATTGGAATCTACTACAATGCCAGAAAAGGCAAGATCGTCCTATTCTGTTTTTAGCGAGAGCAAAGAAGCTTATCGAGTCGAAAATGTGGGGGAAAGAGACACTGAACGTGGCCACTGGCGAAGAAATAAGATTCGCATCTGTTCTGTTGACTCAGAAGATGAAGTTGAAGAACGTGTTCTGTCGAGCAAAGGAAGAGTTTTTCGTCGCACAAGGACGGAATGTGAGTACATAATATGCTTTATTTTTATGCGTACTAACGCCAGTGAAAAGGCGTGAAATTAGCAACTTTCACCCAATTTGGAGTGACAGTTTGTCTTGAAATTAGCTACTTGTAGCCAAAATTTAATAAACACATTATGGTAATGATTTTATTATGATATTTGCTACATTTTGCCAGCACGGCCGTCTTTTTAATTTGTATTCCACTCATCAGAGTCATTTTTGGGTCGTATTCCTCGTTCATCCCAATCGCAACCTCATAGTTAGGGTAAGCAAATCTAACACAGCAGCAATGAGGCAAGGGTAACAAAAGCATAACCTCATATGGGCCATGAATACACTAATTTTTATTGTTATTTGTCATTCCATACTACTTTCACAAATTTTGCTTGTTTACGTTGGTGCCATATCAACTGCCTTAGTAACTTATTAATATCAGCAGATTGGTTTATACTGGCCCTTTCCTGTAAGTGTTTAAACATGTAGATCATGAAAATTCATGACATTGATCGGCATTTTTTAAGGTCTGAATTTTCTTTCTGCCATGGCTTCCCCAGATGTAAGTTTATCCTTGTGTTATTTGATAACTGTAACAATACATAACAATACACTATCACCAGCAACAGAATTTTTGAGCTTTTTCACATCGCAAGGAGTATCATTCCCAGCTAGATCCCCTCCTAGGTGAAAAGAACCTCACAGTCACTTTTGGCACACTGCCTATTCCACCATCAGCATCCAATTATTGAATAAAATATTGATTATCCTTTTATACAGTAAATGTCTGCTTTAGTCCCAAGTAGTTTTATTGGTAATGGTAATATTATGTTCATTATTATACATTGTAGTCACTACCTGTCTTCCCATTGGCTAAGAGCCTACACCTAATTTTGGAAAGCAGACAACCTACAGATTAGTTAGTTAGCTGCTAGCAGGTAACTGACTAATCTGTAGGTTTTGTGTGCAATGCATGACAGCCTCTCTGATTGGTGTCATTATTATTTCAAGTGATTCTTAAAACGTTTTTGTCTTTTCAGTGAATGAGTATGACATTGTCAAGTTGAAGGAGACTGTGGAGAATTTGAAGTTGCAGATAAATGGTTAGTGTCAGGATCTTGCTGGAAAAAATAAGAGAGAACAAGAGACTTTTTATATATTAAAGCTGATATATCTTACAGCACCCTAAGAGTAGAGCCTCGTTTTGTCTTCTTCTTGATCAGGCAGGAGAAAGTGAGACTCTGCCTGAATCACACCAAACCTTTGAAGTCACCGCAGGTCCAAACTTCTGAACCAGTCAGTCTTGTTTTTTGTCATCCAACTGGTTTTTTTTAGTTGGGAGCATCTGTTTGTTGATAAGCCGATGGTCATACCCAAGCCTGCGCAGCTATTTGGCCTGGGTTTGAAAGTGTATTCTAGCAACATTCAGCACATGCTGAAGAGAGATCCTATTTGATTCATGTTTAGGCTGTTTAGAGTACGCCAAAATCTAGCAAGTGAAAGGAAGGTTCTGCTGACATGTTGATTTTTAAGCTAACCAGTGTTGTTGTTTTTTTTTTGTTTTCACCTATAAGCATAATCAGTGAACATTTTTAACCTTTAATGTGAAAATGATTAGTAATTCAGAGATTCAGAGATACTAACCCCGGCATACTTAAATATAGACGTTATTTCTTTTGGAGTATATGCCCCCCCACCCACCTCAATATATCATCCTACTCCACCTCTGATCCATACATACATACATACATACATGTTTTATTTACGAAATTAGTTCATTAAGTGGTTACGGCTCAGGGCACTTGACATAGTCTTACATGAAATACAAACCATCACCAGTTGTTTCCATCTCCCAGTGGGGGGTTGCTCCCTTATACAAGCTATCAAGGTATGCGCCACCCCACTGCGTAGGATTTTTGCGCCGTTTTGGTCTGAAAACGGGTATACACTTTGCCCATTTTGGTCTGGAATCGAGTATGGTTTCTGAGGGAACTATGGGATCGTATGAATGTCTTTATCGTTTCAATTCCAGATGAGTAAGAAAGAAAGAAAAATATGCAAATTCGAAATGGATTGGAAGAATTTTCAGTTTGTTTGCACTCTAATCTAAGTAATGATGACATAATTTCTGCCTAAAGGTCAGGCCTGAAAACGGGTATGGATTTTAGAGGTCTGGTCTGAAAGCGGGTGTGGAAAACTACATTTTTTGGTCTGAAATCGGGTCAGGATTTGGAGAACCAGGCAGCACACCCCCACCAAGAGTTCTCAGGAGTCCCCCCCCTACCCCTGGGTTGTATCTTAACCCCTTATTTTACTTTGTCTCTTTATTTGTATTGACAGATGTTTCCTCAGATCTTGTCACCCATCTGCAAGTGAGAGATGATCTTCGTTTACAGAAAAATACCATGAAAGTTACTGTGGGCAAACTTGTCCATCTTCAATCCAACATCAAAACATCAAGTGCACAGGATAGACCCAGGTCTACAAACACTACCAAACACTGTCCAAATAATGTTATTATTACATGATTACAGGTGCACTTCTAGAGCCAGTGGTGGATCCAGAGGAGGGGCACGCCTCCCCTATTTTCAGACCAAACTGTCATGAGGCCCAGAGAACCGACAAAAATTTTTTGGAGACTGTCCCCCCCCCCGTTCTCTAAGGGTCTAGATGATCGCCCCCTCTCCCTTATCTCAAGGTCTAGATCTGGCACTGTTCTAACGATAATAATATAACTTAGATTATTTTTTCCTGCAAGACAAAAATTAATCTTGTCAGAAGAGATTTTAAATCAGATGCATACTGCATCTTGTAAATCTCATCTTCAACATAAAATGTAAATACTACAGAAAGTAAGTTGGTTGAGTATGAGTGTCTGGGTGAACGTAGTCCTGAATAGGACTGTTGTTGTTGACAGTGACTGATGTTTCGACAACCTGTGCAGTAGTCATCTTCAGAGTCAAAATGAGTTGTATCATGACTGAAACATACAGATGAAACATTAAATCGATTGGGACTCTGTGACATGTGTTATGTATTCTACAGACTACCATCAATGACTCACTTTAGAAAGCTGGTTTACTAACTCAGAACAAACGCCACTGAATCGTAGTCAACAGTTACCGGCACTGTACAAATGAATTATTCGTGGAATCACGCAAAACTAACTACATGTATGAGAGAACAACTGGGCAACGGACGATTTGACTGACCATAAACAACCTTTTAACTGTGACAGTAGACAGATTGAAATGCACCAATGACAACGAGTCTTTGTAGCCAATAACATCACAGCTTAACTGATAGATGACCAATAATATCTCGACTTAACTGACCAATCAGGTCAATAACCAAAGTTTAATACCATCAACTGACAGGGTACAACTCACTTGGACTCTGAAGATGACTACCACACAGGTTGTAGAAAAGCCAGTCACTGTCAACAACAGTCCTATTCAGGACTATGTTCACGGCAGACGATCATACTCAACCTACTTATGAAATGACTCCTGGGTTCAAACCTTTCACACGGCATAAAGTGTGAGAAAGAAAAATGGCACTTATGGTAAAGGCAATGTTCTACTCTAGCAGCTTATATAAGAGTCTCTGTTACATAGCAGTGACTGAAATGATTTATCTTTGGTTTATTGAAAGACCTTAAAAAACTGAATATGCATCAATTATTGAACATGATAGCAATGTTAAAAAGATGCATACTTTTCGCCCCATTTTGAGATAAGCATTTTTAAGGTTTCCTTGTAGAGTCCATGCTTCCTGAAACAGAACACTTTGTGGCTGTAAAGATGTAAGATAAGAGGTTTTTGCAGAGTATCTTTTTAAAATTTCAATGACATAAAAAAAAAACTGTTTGAGAGTTGTACCTAATGTTTTGGCAAAAGTGATGTAGTATCAAAGCAAGGAGGATCAAATCAAGCAAGGGATTACATTGTTATTGTACAGTTGAAATAGTTATATCGTTAATTATGTGAATACGATAGAGGCTATTTCTTAAAGTGCTTATTGCAAATTTATCAAATCTCTACTTTTAATATATTTTAACGTCTACTTTTAATATATTTTCACTTAAAGCTGGTAATAAATTTTCTGATATTCCGATTGGTTATCCATTCTCTTTCTATTTTTAGATACATTAGACCTAGGTTTGATTTGAAAAGTAAGGTCATAGCCATTTTGTTCTTTAAAATGAAGTGGTCAAAACAAGTGTACTCGATAAGGACCTACCTTCACTAGGGGTGATAGGCTATACAAGACTCCACCCTTTTGAAGAGCCTTATGGATATAGATTTTTGGCCAAAAATGTGAGATGTGACGAAAATATTTGGTGTGCATGAAGCTAATGATTAGCGTCTTCCAAGATAAGAAGTTCTTCATTTTCATTTGTTTAGAATGAACAAACTCGATCGCGATTTCTTGTATTGGCAGATTTCATCACTTGTTTGCCCCCTGAGAAACCACGTGACATGGCTTTTATCCCATCAGTCCTTAAGCGCGTGCAAAGATGGCGGGTATCGTAAATATGGTCTCAAACTGAGGAGGACTGGGTACGAGCCCGTGTACTACTGTGATTTTCGACACAAGACCCACACAGTCAGAAAGAGCACATCAAGCTTTTCACAAAATCTCCAAATTTCGTGTTAATCAGGCCAAAATTGAGCAAGACACTTTAAAAATTACCCAAAAATGTGTGGATTTCCGGGCTCTTGTCGTACGACGGAACGTCTACATATTTCTTAGTAGATTCGATTAGCTGTATCTCGTTCGTTATGCATCAGTCAATTCCACCTGCGCCCAGCCCCCGGGCTACTGCGGGGCATTTGCCCGCCTTGTCAGTCCCGGGGGTGGGGCATTTGCCAACCCCCCGACCAGTCCCGAGCTCTTGACACGCACGCGGTTTCCTATCAGAATATAACTACATAGAAGGTTTTACTGGAAAAAAAAGCAGATTGGCTCATCTGTCAAGGACAGGAATAAATTGTAGAGGGTTGTAAAGGCATGTTGTCCATTTTACATGTATGTATGCATTTCTTCATTGCTTATCAAGCCAGAATTACATAGCGAAATTGGAGCTATCGATGTGAATCAACGTTTTTTAGTTATTGAATCAAATTTCTGTTGATATTATTTGAGGAACACCCTTTCGTATTTATAAATCTACTCAAAACATACAACTTTACAGCACTCTATTAATTTTAATGTCACTAATTTTATATCAATACTAAAACCATAAACTGGTGCATGTCGTCGCGGCGTGAAGTCTTAATTACAATCCTAGCGCTATTGCAAAGGAAGACGTTAATTGAAACAAAAAATCGCACTTTAAAATGGCACTATTGGACTGTGCGATCAATAAAAAATGTTGCACTGTTGACGGAGGACGGGACATTTGCCCTCTTTTTTCTTCCCCACCCCGGGGGATTTGCCAGCTCAAGAGTGGCCACCCCCGGAAATTTGCCATCCAAGGCAAAAAAAAATGCTAATTCCCGGGGGTCAGCCCCGGGGGGGGGGGCCTGGGCGCAGATGGAATTGACTGATGCATTATTTCCCGATAAACACTCAACTTGAGGATTTAGTAGTTTACTAGTAAACGGAATGGTACCCAGTCGCCCTCGGTTTGAAACCAGCCGGCACTGCAAGACCCCAAAATGCTTACGAACGAGAAGCAATAATGTCATTTAACGTGCGACACAATAGATCAGAGAATTTACACTCAGGCGAAATCTCGAAACGAAGCAAAATCTCGTTTAATAATGCATTGATTTTGTAATACTGTTTCTGACTCTTTCTTGGTAGTTTCTTTTGTGTCTCGTAAATATCAACGAGGGAACACAAAAGAGGTGCACGGGGGGGGGGGGGGGGGGAGGATGGGTGAGAAAGAGAACTTCTCGTTTCCATCCTTCCCTTCGGGAAGATACCGCTCTAGTCTCCCGCGGCCGACCTGCTACCGCGTACAAATAATAAGACGACTGTTCCTGCTACATTTTAGCTCACTTGGCTATCATCGGTGACCAGAAATGCGAAGTAAGATCATTTACTAATCTAATGTTTACTAATCTAATTCATTTATTAATCTAATGTTGTAACCACTTTGGTATTTAACAAACTGCTGAACTGTAAAAGATTTCTTTTGTTCCCGAACTGTGGTCGCCCTTGTCAATAATTGTATAATGAGCAATATTTACTCTGTTTTGTTTATTATATTATTCTATATCCTAGCTAAGTTCTAGGTCATAAAAATATTTTTACGTTTTAACTTATTCAAATATCTTGCACGAACTGCGTTCTCTAATTATTTGGTGAATATATTCCATGACGTATTCTGTATGTACTAAAATATTTTCGTTATCTATGTTGGAAAAAAATCCTGCATTTCGCGAAGAAATGATGGACGTTCAAGTCACTTTTCAGAGTACGGGCAAAAACAAAATTGGTCGCCGTTGCATTACTACAGGACCGTAGCAATACAAAGGGGCGGTTTTCAATTAAGCTTCAAAAGCGAGCTCGTGATTTGCCAAAGTAGCTCGCGCCATTTTCTAACATGCAAAACGCCTGACAGTAGCCTGAAGCCCTCCACATCAATACCCTATTTCCGCGTTGCCTCTAGCCTCTTGTTAAAAACGAGGCTAAGTGCAATGCTCACTTTTGCACTTGGCCTCAATGTGAAAGCGAGGCTTTTGCAACTGGCAAATAGCATATTGGCCAACCTCGTCCCCAGGGCTTTTCCCTTTTCCCGTCCCACCCATTTTTTAAGGGAAAAGCCCTTGGGACGAGGTTGCATATTGGAGTCGAGTTTTGATTGTTTTACTGCAAAACCTCATTGTAATTCAGTAGCTTTGGTTTTGAGGCGTTAAATTGAAAACCGTTCTTAGAGAGTACACATCCCCTGTATTTCAGGATACCACAAATACCTTGCAATACCACCTCTATTAAATATGAGGACCAAGTAAAATATTAAACACCAATGGTAGCAGACCATTTGACTCTGGAATAATTACAGTTGTGATAACGAACGTTTTTAGCAATAAAAAAACTTCAGAGAACCATTGCAACATTTTTCAGACGCCTTTGCTTTTTAAGACACAAACTTTCATAAACCCGAAAACGTTTTGTGGACATTTCTGTAAAAATGGTTTACAAAAACAGGTCAGCCAAAAATGAGTCAATTCGATTAACTCGTACAGATGGACACAGGACAACAACAACTGAGCGACAAAATGACGGCAAAAGCTGTATAAGCTTAGCAGTAGTACAAGACAATGAATTGGACTAAACAACACAATGAACTTGTCAAAGGGACCGATTGAACGGAACAGTACAATGCAACAGATTCCGCAACAGTACGACACGGTAGACCTGACAGTAACGCAACACAACAGACGTGCCAGCAACACCACACAATAGGCTCCCAACACTACCTCACGATAGACGTGACGGTAACGCAACACAACAGATTTGAACACAGAACAACACCAATACCAAAAACTTACGTACATACATAACTAAGCCAGTTGCCGACTATTTATACCTCACAAGGAACAGAAGTAGTCTGCTTTTCAGTTGTTAAAATCAGCCCCCTCCCTACCCGTGAGAATAGCATCAATCCAGATACTCATTGCCAGCCCGCTAGGTGCGGCAACGTAATACGTTTCCTGGGGAGTCTTAACGCAAAACGTAGTCCTTAAGGAAGAGCCCTTATATGACATGGGCAAGTCTACATAGACGTCCTGAATGGCTTGGAAATAAATAATCCCTTTAGGCGTTTTCTGGTGCTCGTCGGCGTAGTAGCAAAGGGCACGCTTCTGTCGATCCAGTACAAACCAGCGCTTTTTCCACGATTTGATAAGTTTTCCACTCATTTTCGACAAGTAGCCCTTACAGGTGCTGGCGGTTACACGCACTGATGGACAGTTTTCTAACACGTGACCAGTGGCAACAAGGTGCTGCACAAGGTTGAGGTCCTCTTCGTGATGGGACGTGCCGTTCTTGACCTGTTGCGTTACGTTACGTGAAACAGAAGAAAAACTCTAATCAGTATGGATGACCAAAAAAACTTAGAGACCATAACATGCAACATTTGGGCTGGAGGGGTGTGGGTAGAATCCGCCCTGGGTACAATAGCTGTACCCGTATCCGTGAATATGGTTAACCGACCCTTCATACCCGGAAGATAAGCCAGGCTGCACAGTAGGACGATGACACCTTAAACAATCTATTTTGAAGGGGACCATGATTTCCCCTTAAAAACAAATACAGGGCAAACATGTTTCCCTTCCCGTACTCTTACCCTTTCAAACTGGCCAAACTAAAAATACAAACAACTCCAATTTTCTTCTCGTAATTTCCACAGAAATATATTGTATAATGCTCAAGTTCTGCAAAAGAGGTTTCATTATTACGTACCATTATGGGATTTCGTCCACATATGTAAAAGGTAGTAAAGCTTTTAAAAGGTACTACTGTCGTATTGACTTGAAAAGGATGACTGCTCCCTACTAGCAGAGAGCTTAGCTTCAGCACAACCTTTGGCCGAGTTTAACAGGATCTCCATTGTCTGGATTTACCCGAAGTAAAGTTTTTCAGCAATGAAAAACGTATTGTTGTAGGGCTACACCACGGATGTCTGAGGGGAGGTACATGGCCATCTCTGCATCTTGAAATACTTAGTTTGCCGTTTGTTATGAATGCAACGTTCCTCGATCGTAAGCCATGCTCAATCCCTAGCCTTCATAGTTAAGTACTGCATCATTGGAGTTTTTCTATAATGCTGAACTCATATTTGACATGTCTCAGTAACTTTCATGATTCCCCGAGTGAACGATGGATTTTTTCAAGTTGGTTCTAAGTTTTGAAACTGTGGAGAAAATCCTACAGTATGACCATTCTAATGATATCACTTTGCATTGTTTTTCAGCATTTCATAAAATGAAATTTGGAAACTTTGTCGGAGAGTAAGATTATAAGCACACTAGACTCCCTTTTGCAAGTGGTAGTTATCTATTACGCACCAAAATAAAGAGTGAAGAAATCACAAAAAAATCTTATGAACGCCCTTACCTTTGTGGAGAGTCTTTCATGAATAGCCTTCTCGGTCATCATTTCCTTGCGAGCTTTCTCAGCCGCGGCGACCTTCTCCAGCTCCTCCTGCTTCTGCTTTTCAGAGAGAATTTTTTCCATCTCTTGTCTTCTCGTGCGTTCCATTCCTAGCGCTTTTTCAAGCTCCTTCACCTTTTCACCATCTTCTGCTGCATTCTTTTGTTGCTGTACTTCAGCCAACTGGCGCTCTAGTTTCTCTCTCTTTTCCTTCTCCCGCTGTAACTTGAGCGCTGTTTTATCCTGAGTTCTTTCGTCGCCACTGCTCCCGCTTTCGGCGCTACTTTCCTGCTGTTTGACGTGCCACAGATGTTCAGCTTCTCGTTTTAGCTCAATCAGTCTGCGCTTTTCTTGTTCTAAGCGCTGTTTTCGCTCCTGGAATGAGCAGCCCTTTCCAAGCTGCGACACGTCCTGTATCTTTAACGCTGACAAGAGCGGAGGAGCCTCAGCGCCATTATTTCTGATCTTTTTATATTCCTTCTCCAGATTAATCAAGCGCTGCTTCTCCTTCGCCATCTGCTCTCTCTGATTTTTTAGCTCAGTTTGAAGTCGGCGTCGCTCCTCTTCTGCCTGCCTGAGCGTCTCTTGTTGTTGAGCTTGCAGCTCTTGAACTCGCCTGTGCTCTTCCTCAAGCTTCCTTCGCTCCTCTTCTCGCTCCTTTTCAAACTGTTCCCGAATGAGCTCCTTTTCTCGCTCAAGTTGTTGGCCAGCTTCACGTTGTTTCTGTTCCAATTCTTCGAGAAGAAGTTGCTCAGTCTCGAAGAACTCGAATTCAATTTGTCGCTCGCGCTCCATCCTATCCTGTTTCGAAATCATGCTCTCTTCAATTTCTTTCATGGCCTGTGCGTGCTGTTCTTCAAGTTCAACAAGCCTTTTCTTCTCTGATTCGATCATTTGTTTCTCATGTTCTTGTTCCCTCGCCGCGTTCTCCAGCATTTCCAAGCGTTCTTTCTCCAGTTTGTTTAATCGCTCTCGTTCTTCTTGGAGTCTCACTTTTTCTTCTTCCCTTTCTTTGTCAAGCCGTTCTCTCTCAAGTTCAATAGTTTTAAGAGCTTCTTGTTGTTGCTGCTCCAATAACTGTATCCTCTCTTTCTCCTTTTCAATCTTTGAGTTTTCCTTCTCTCTTTCCTCCTTCAGTATTTTTATCTGCGCATTAAGTTCGTCTTCAAGTTGCTTAATAACCTCGCTTTGCCTTTCTTTCATTTGCTCAAGTTTCCTCCGCTCTTCTTCAATAAGCTCATTATCAAGTTGTTGACGTTCATACGTCAGCATTTCCTCTTCCAGGCTATTTATCTCCTGAAGGGCAAGTTGTTGTCTTAACTCCTCGATGGCTACTCTCTCTTTCTCCGTTCCTTCCTCTCCCTCTAGTTTTGCCTTCATGGCTTTAAGTCTCTCATACTCTTCTTGTCGCCTACAAAACAACAACAATACCGTCATAAGCTGACTTACTTGCAAAATTTCTGAAACTACATTAGAAACCTTTAAGTCTTATACATTATCCCCTCTCGTTCAAGCAATCATATTCTTGGCGTATTCCCAAAGCTTTTGTTGCACGAAACTTGTCATTTTACTTGAGAGTTCTATAAATTTTCAAATCCAAATTATAGGTCATTGAAAATGGAGATGCTCGACACTATTTTAAGACTTGAATGTGTTGTGGCCGGTTTGTCAAGCAACTGCACCGATCAAAAAAAAAAAAACAATGTCTGCTCTAAGAATTACCTTTTCCAAGACGGATTGGAGCATGATAAACCCATTCAGTAATAACTGAAGAGGTTTGAGTTAACTCTCGTTAGAAACCTCAAGTTTAGATAAACAGTTGATTACGTTTGACAGTCAATGTAAAACCTTAGACTCGAATCTTGACCCAGATCGCGTGCCAGGCACAATATGAACTGACGTCATCAATAACTTGTGACTAATCACAAAGGGACTGATTACGACAATCCTTGCTAAGTACAATGTTTCACAACAAAATTTCGACATTTCAGTTAAAGAATTTATACAATGAGTAAGTGAAGAGAGCCAGATATAAAGTAAACTAGATTCAACGAAGCAAAACATTTTAAGATGGCACGTGTAAGATTACAGGCGGAAGTTATCGGTAGAATATCCGGAGTAAATAACATAATCGAGTCATACAAGAACCCATCAGAGTCACACAAATTTCATTTCGGCAGATATCGAAATGGCCATTTACATGAAATTTTGAGTAAATTCTCCAGCTCATATTTCTTATTTTTTGTAATCCTTTGGCGATTCTTGCTTCTATTTTTGTCAAGACATTCAATACAGGCTTAAAGCATGCTCGTGAAATTCACGAAAGATCCCTGTTTAGCTTATTAGTCACCATCCAGGGGCTAAACAACACTTCTGGTCCGGAAAACTCTCTATATGGGGCAACGTTTACATTAATTGAAAAAGGAAACCGTATCTATTTTTAGTGACCCCTTCAAATCTAAAGGAGACTTCAATGAACTCTAGTGCCGGGAAAGTAAGTATCATGTTTTCGGTCGTGGATGAAAAAGACGGAAATATACATTTCAAAGAGTCGACCGCGTATTTTCGAGTTTTTCTTTTGTTTCTTCGATGAAACTGGTAAAAATTTGTTGTGTCCCATCCTTCGTGAAAAATGTAAAATTGACTTCATCTACAGTAAATCCTCTATTAAGCCCTCCACTCATTTAAGCTCCCCTTTTCCGGGGAGGAAAGTGAATAAGCCCCCCCCCCCACGTCTCTTTTAAGCCTCCCCCCCCCTTCCCCGCCACTTTATTCTCAAATGATAGACTGTATTTTAATCAATCACGACTGTAACACTTCACGTGCGGCACGATTTATTCACGTGCTGGAAGTTCGGATTTGTTTGTTGATCTTCGCGTGTATGACCTTCATGCGCCTGAGCTTTTTCACTTTGCGCTCTAAATTTTATGGAGAATTGATACCAGCATCCTCGCTAACATAAATAATCAAATAAGCCCCTCCTCTCTATAACGTCCCACCCCATCCCCCTTCAAACGTGCTTGAAAGAAATGACCCCTTCCCCCTCCCCCCTCCGAGGAAGGGGCTCAATGGGGGATTTAAGTTAATTTAAGTGAAAAAATGAAATAAAATATGATTTAAGCATATTTCTGTTCAAAATATTGGGAGAATTCCCAAGGCACTGCCCCTTAGAGATAGTTCGTCAGCTTAGTAGTATATAGGATGCTCGTCAAATGAATCGCGTTCAACCCCCTAAGCCCTGAGAGTGATCAGCATCAGATTTCTCCTTGTAATATCAATGCTTTGTAAAACAGAGTGATCATGAGAATTACAGACACGATCACACAATTTGCCTGATATTTTATCAACTTCTCCCAACTACTTCTGTAGGAAATGAATAGGGGCAACAAATGAGAATTCAAATTTTGATCTTAAAGGGCTAATGGCTTTAGCTCTTACGACCCACGAGTCTCCTGTAGTTCAGTGAAACAGCAGTTGGTCTTAAGTAAAAACCAGAAGGTCATAGGTTCGACTCATGCTGGGAGCATTGGATCAATGTTGACTCTTTAAAGATCTAAGAGTAATAGGGGTCATTTTACAATAAAACTCTAACTTAATGGAACAGTTTGCGCTGGTTTTTTGGGCTCGAGCCCGCGTTACCATAGCTACCAGCCTCCCTCGCAGACGTCCTTAGGGATTCGTCATACATTCCTCCAACACAAAAGGAGGAATGCGTGACAAATCCCTACGAGGCTAGCGTTACCATTGTTTAGAATTTGAATTCAAATCATAGGGGCCGAAATATCAAAGGGGCCTTTTTTTCTAACGGGGTTTTCGAGAAATGGACCCATAGGACCCTTACAACACCAACCTTTTCTCCTTGTTTGAGCGTTCCTGTTCTTGTTTCCTGACATTCTCTTCATATTTTTCCTGTAGAATCATGAGCTTTTCTTTCTCCTCTTCAAAGTGTCGAAGTTCCTTTCTTTGTCTTTCCAGTTCTACAATCTGCACTGCGATCTCCTCCTCAAAGCTCTCGACAGCTTGTCTGTGCTGTTCTTCCATCTCTTGTAACTGTCGACGCTCCTCTTCGAGTTGCGTTTTTTCAAACTCGATTCGCTCCACAGCCTCCTTGTACTCGTGTTCCAGGGACAGCAGACGTTCGTTTTCTTTTTGGAGTCTTTCTCTTTCTTGTTTGTCTTTTTTATACTGTTCAATGGCGAGCTCCACATCTGGAGACAGAAAAGGGCAAATGTTTGCGAAATTGAAGTGAAGCATCTTTGGAAAAAGACTGGATCATTATAGCAAAAATCGTTACAAATTCATCGAGGCGAACTAAAATAATGGAAAAGGTTTTCATCTTTCGTTTCTCGACGTGGTTACTTGTGATGTACATGTAGGTCGCAAATGATTCTATTTCCGCCGCAGAGGCTCCCGTAAAGAACATTTCACATGACGTATTAACGGCGGCTATATCGTGTACAAAACAATGAAACCGCGGCGGCCATGTTGGTGTACTAAAAAAATCAGGCCGGGGATTGAACTTTTTTTCTCGTGAAATAGCTTTCTTTTGCTCCAACAAATTTGCATAGCCGCTGACCACGAGAGCGAAAACGATCTTTTTTAGCAAAAGAGAAAAAATTTAAAAAATAAGCGCGCGAGGGACGAAGGGAATGGAGCGAAAAGGTGGGAGCCTCATTCCTCCTCTTTCCCCTTCCCTTGAACCACGCGCGCGCTTGTTTTCGCCTCTCCCAGTTTTCCAGTGACACAAAGAGATCTTTGCGGAGAAGGAGAAAGCAATTGAACTACATCACAAGTGACTAAATCGTGAGCCGATACGATGCTTGTTTATTCAAAAAAGTATACAATCTTTACATTCAACCTGGAAGGTAACAAGTTCAAAGTACCAAGGGAAAAAACTATGAATATAGCTAAATGTGTCGCTGTTAGACCGTGCTAACAACAAAACGTTTCTCTTCGGATCGAGGTCCTTTTTGGCATACCTGGGTAGTATTGATCTGGAACAATGGAGAATCTGTTGCCTGGATTCGACTCCTTGATTCTCTTTGCTTCTCTGGGATGATTGAACCGGAAGTAGTTGGATTTTCCCAGGCAAATCATGCAACCTAAAAAATAGGAAAACATTGCGCGTGATGAAGACTCAGTGGATTAACTACAACATAAAATAAATTCTTGAAAATTCCTCGACTGATACTTGACCGAGAAAACATACTGGCCGAGTGCACCAAATCACGGACCTGACAAAATTTTACAATTTTCCCACCTTTTTCATTGAAACAAAAAGCTTCGTAGTCACTTAGTTTGGAAAAGTCACCCATTAGGATTTTGCATTACGACTACGAAGAAAAGAAGAACAACGCAAAAAAACTATGCCATTCTCTTTCAGTTAATTGATGAAGGTTTTTTTTCGCAGGAGGTAATAATCTGAAACCAAACCGAGACCATTGAAAGTTCGGTTGGTCATAAACATTTCCTCGCGAACCCAAACAGGAGATCCTGACTAAAGCACTGGCAGAAAGCTTAGAGGTACGGAAGTCCAATACAGGCTTAAAGATAGCGTGATCAAAAGTCAAGCAATATTGTCGATGACAAGACCTTTGTCATACAGGTGTTGAACCACGAGTCTAAAAACAGTTTCTTCGTAAAGTACAAGTAAACACATGTACGTGTCACAGCGTTAAGCAATCAATCGCCGCCTGAGCTAAATTTAGGCTCACATCAGTTGAAGAAAAGACATGAGTTTCCAAGACAACAAAGCAAATTAATAATAAATTTTACCAGCATGGAAAGGTAAAAGGTTTAATAAAAAATCGACTGAGAAAAATGCAGAGAAAACTAACCGGAAGTTAGAGTCGTTATTATTTAAACCGCGTTGAAAGCAGTGGACTTCATACACGAGCGTAAATCAATGCTCTTTCTATTTTGCGCCAAGTATGGCCTAACACTGTTCATAGTAAACAGATTTCAAATTACTCAGAAGGCGGTTTTGTGAAACAACGTTAAAAGCAAGACCAACCCAGAAGTGAAATGTGCATTATATTTTCAACTCTTTTGGTAGATTTAACGACGTTTTGCAGTCTACAAGCAAACCCAAGTACACTACAGACCGTGAGTGATAGACCTGACCATGAAAAATCAGAAAAGGCAATTACAAAGTTAAATTTACTTCTTGGGTTGTTGTTAATTTCAATTTCTACACTCAAAGAGAAGTTTAACGGCAGAAACTGAAAATAAAAACCTAACAATAAAATGGAAACAAGTCGTGAACAAAAAGACTGATACTTGAACCAGTTCAAATCAAGGATTATTTTACATATCATAAGCGGTGATCAAAACTGTGAGGGATAACGCAAATGTAACACACTGATTTAAGCAGGTTCTTTACGCAGTACACCAGTCTGATTTTACGGTTATTTGCAAACAATATTACTAGTTCTTTGGTGATAGAGTTAATAGGGAATTAGCAGAGTGAATAGGTTTTTACATTTAACTTGAACACTTTTGGCGGGAGTGGATGATTAGAAGCGTAAATATATAAACAAAGTTACCGAGGAATGATAAAGCAATGTGCATAGGTCTAAAGAACCCAAGATGTTCGAAGACAAATAACTTTAGATTTTATAACTTCCAAGCAAAAAGAAGGAATCAAGCAAGAATGAGCTCTACCTACTTTAAAACTCCACGGCTGGTGTGTTGCAGGATATCGTGACAAAATAGTACAGCACACGCGAGTAAATAACATGTCATTTGCTCGATAAACCAAAGACTAATCTGAACACGTAAAGGCTTCCTCTCCGGGGGTATGAAGGGGGACAACTTGTCTTATTACGGGGAAATTAACGCTCGTTCCAATTTATGTATTTGAAATTAAGAGAACTTTCAAGTCGCGGAAATGACCGCTCCACTTAATTAAATGGTACGGAAGTTAGCGTCAACACTGAAAAATTGACGCACCTTAAACGAACGCGAATTTTTGGCGCGTTGATATTTATGAAGCGTCTGTTTTAAGTGATGGGGTAGTGTGCAATCCACGCCTCTCAAGGATAGGGACAGGAGAACTCGAGCTTTTTAGATGAATCGTTCTCCACAAACACATTCTTGATTTCTTTTGAAAGGAAACATTTTACGTACCTTGGGGTAGCCTGGTGGGCTCAGAGATTGGAATACCATCCACGGAACACAAGGCTGCTTTGGGGTAAAGAACCACTGCATCGCCATTGTATTCGACTGTGCAGTGCTCACTGTTGAAAAATGACATTTGTTGTTAAGAAAATGAATGCAGTAAGAAATTATTTGAACACCACCACCTAGGGGAGGATTATTAACTATTTATTCAGTATTCATTATTGAGAAATTTTGGAATGGAAAATTTAATTAAAGACAGTTATGTATTCGAGTGTCATGCACTAAGCGGTCATCAGACTTCGTCGGTAAAAGTTACAGGGATCATAATGTAAACAGGGAGGTTGGTGAGTGTAGATCAGATGATCGAACGCAGCTTAAAAACTATGAACTTTCCCTACACTCTTTCACCCACAGAGTTAATGATGGAGTCTTGAAAGGTGTTTCTAACATTTGAGTTTGAGGTGTTACCATTCAAATTAAAGCTCTTTTGCAGTACTTTCACATGGTACTATTTATTTGGTATGTATTTCTAACTTTTTAGTCCGTGGATGAAATCCTGTGGTGTTACCATTTAAATGAAACCTCTTCAGCAGTACTCTCACATGGTACTATTTATTTAGTATGTACTGTAGTTGCAACTTTTGAGTCTGTGGACCAAATCCTTTGGTGTGACTATTCATATGAAACCTCCTTGGCAGTACTTTCACATGGTGCTATTTCTTGTTCAGCATTCAGCAAAAAGAAATTTGGATATTTTTCTTTAATTTTCATTTTGGCCACTTCTGGGAATAAAAGGGTACTGACATCGCATGCAGTGTCTTCTCATCTTAAGACAATGGCACCGACTACACAATCAAGTTCCCTAGCGCTTCAATTTGAATCAGATCGAGCAAGTCATTTGAACATTTTACAGCTCACAACAGCTCCCAATTAATCACTCACTCGTTATGACAGCACGAGTATAACATCTAAGCAGCCAATCAGAAACACGTCCTATCCAGCTACTGTGGCTCTGTTTAAATTTTTATCTCTGTAACTTTTAAGACTACCATGGTTACTGCTTTCGATCTATGAAGAGATGTGCAGCTGTAAGAGTTGCTTCCTCGTTAAGATGGTCAACCCCACGGTTCTACGAAAAACACGATATATGCGCAGTCCAGGGTTTTCAAATTTAACCGGCGCCCGGCGCAAGTCACCGGCTACTTCAAGCATTTGCGCCGGGTACTTTTTGTATTCCAAATCTACACAATTCTGTTTCACCAAACTAATCGTGATCTGATCTTTTTGAGGAAATAAATAAACGCCAACTGCTGAAAATAATTAAAAAACAGTGTGGCTATAATCACATGTACCTTCTGATCTTCGAAGCGAGAGCTTTTTTTGGCGGGAAAGTCTGCTCGTGTGCACGGACTCTTATTTGAACGTGCATGTATCGGCGCGGCAGCAGATTTGTTCTCACTCGAAAGTTGCAACATGAAGCGGAGGCAGCAAACGATGTTGTCTTTTCTATCAACTGCGGAGAAGTCTCGAAGAGAAACAGGTAACAATAATTTTAGGAATAAGAGTTAACAAATATTACGTGTTGTTCCAGTTCTGAAAGTGACGATAAAACAATATGCTGAGGCTGAAATGACCAGTATCCGTAGCTGTAGCGGCATCCACGTGGTGAATGCGAAGGCAGTCTTTCTCGTGAAATGTTACTCATTATGGTCTTGACTGCACCAAATGTATTTTCAAGAAAAGACCGAAGGAAGTTTTAACAAAAAAAGGCTTCAACAGCGCAAGTGTTGAGAAAAACTGCGAATTGCAGCGAATCGAAGAAGAAACGAAGCGAGACCGCTGACTTTGTTGTGATAATACTTGCCACTTTACGGCAATATTTCGTTATTCCGTTGATTCATTTGCAGCTCTCTTTCAAAACTGATCGACTGTTAAACTGTTTATCTTTAACTTACATGTACGCAAATGATGAAATCATGGTATTATATTACAGTTCAGTTTTATATTGCACTTCAATTGGAGATACAAGAAGTCAAATAACGTAATAAGTACTGTACTCATGCAAAATGTAGAAGCATTCCTGGCCATTTTTGCAAAACTTTATTACTTTGAAAGCAACTAATTTTACAAAGTTTGAACACTAACCCTTGTTAATAAGTGTACAGTGGCGGTCAACAAAATCAGTTACAGGTGCAAAACATACAAGGGAATAAAGTTCATTAATCAAGGAACCCTGGTTTTTAAATTTTCCAGGGGAAGCTCCCCATTCCTCTCGGCAGAAGGGGCGGGGTTGCTCCCCCCACTCCACAAGGTTGCCGATAGTGTTCCGGCTACTTTGCAATTTCCTCCAGCTACTTTTTTTCAATTTGAAAACCCTGGCAGTCTGACCACCAGTGACGAGACCACGCTGAATTAACACATAATTGTAGAGTCTGGCACAATAAAGGTCCACTAAAGAAAGGTTTAAGCGCTCACAGTGAATACAATGACATTATCACGCAGTCAAATTAGACTACTAGCAGGAGCCATAATTTGGCTCCTGACCAAAAATGCCATTTGTGGTCATGGGAGCTATTTGAAATTAGCGTGAATATCAGACGGTTCTGGGGGAAAAGGGGAAAGATGGAAGCGAAAAAGGGAGAGAGCTGAAGGAGAGAAACGCCCTTCCTTTCTCTTCTCCCCCATCTAAAATCTCCTCTCCCTTAGCCCCTTAGGAAGGCCTGATACTCAGGCTATTTGAAATGGTCCCTCTTTTCCTTTAGGGGGATAGTGCCCAGGTCCTAAAAATCCTCTAATTTTATTGGTTCTCCGTAACACGCAGCCCCATTGCTTTAGTGATAGAGTCATTGTTATATTTCTATTTATTGTTTTCACAGCCAATCCTGTGAAGCCAAGTAGTGAAGCGAGTGAAACACGCTAGTGAAAGGCGCGCGGGAGGAATCGCCTCCTGCGAGGAGACGCGACGCGCGTGGAAAAGTAAGCAATTATTTGTGAAGTAAGCAAAAACGTACGGTTCTATTCCTTTTCCTCTTAGCGGAATGTCAGGTTTACACGTGTCTGTTGAAACGCCGATCAAGGTTTTACCTGAAAAGAAAGTATTGCCATTTTACACACATTTCACTACACGTCTTTTGAGCGGAGAAAATACTCGCCTTACATCGAAGACATGTATGTGACTGGGGACCTAATATCGATAAGTGATTATCATTTAATGTAGGAAAGATGCAAGTTATCAGGGAGTTACCACTGGTAACATCTAATACCGTAGCCTCGTGATCCACAGAGACCTAATCATCTGTAACATGACAAGAGTCCTCATATCGGTAAGATGCATGTTATTAGGGACAAGATACTGTGATTAGGCAAGGTTATCAGGGACCGAATATCGACTAGTTGTTTAACATAGGAAATATGCCAGTAAAAACCGCAACACGCACTTGAAACCTAAAAGGCAATTTCCAGTTCGCCTCTAGCCTTTATTTTCAAAAGATGCTTGCTGCGAAATGAAGAAGGGGTTTATTCTCATGCAATACGACAGGATGCTTGCAAATAAAGCTCATTTTTATATGAGGGTATTTCCACCTGACCTTTTTGTAAGGGGTTTTTTTGACATGCACCGGATAAGAGAAATCAATTCTGTAAGAAGCATGTGATTAGAGACCAAAAACTGTGATCAGGGATTTTGAATCGGGAACGTGCGTGATTTGGGATCTGACATCGGCCATGGAGATGTGACCAGAATAGGAACCTTATATCGGTTATATGCATGTGATCAGGGGCCCAATATAGAAAGCATGCACGTTATACGGAACTAAACACATGGTTACATGCATGCAGATATTAGGGAGCTCAAGTAAGGACATTTCCGAGCGACGCAAGTCAACCGGAAGTAGGCGTTTTGAAGTATTGGGGAACGATTTTTCCAAAATTTTCTAGCAATTCGTCTCAATAAGAGTAAGGATACTTAGAAAGACAAATTTGGCAGAGTCAAGGCACACTAAAAGGGAAAAGACCTCGCTTCCGGTTGACGTGAGTTGTTTTGCACTTGCTCAACCCGTCATCGATCTAATAGTTTCCTTTCTATCGCATCTTACCTCGTTTAATAGGACAAAGAGTGACACCGATACTCAGCCTTCCTCCGCCAAGACTCACAAAATGAGGCTCGTCTGTTTCGAACTTCAGCGCCGAGCCCAGCTCTGTGACGGCTAGTGCACGCTCCTGATTAAAAAAAATGGACAGAAAAAAAATCAAGCACAGAAAAGCGACGCCAAAAGCAATAGAGTAAGAAATCGCTTGACCACTGGAGTGATAATGTCTGAAATGGTTGTCGGCTCTCAAAAAGATCAAAGATAGAATACGCTCAGTATTAGAAGTCAGTTAAATCTATGGAGCTTTAAGTCCCTATGTCTAAGGAGCCTTGCCTATGTGGATTTATCTTGATAGCTTTTGTTGCGTATTTGACTGACTGTACTTAAAATCAGCATTACGTTTTCAGGACAGAAAGGACGCAGTATATGGTACGTCATTGAAACTTTGTTAGTGACTGAGTCAGTGTGAAGTCTTGCCGTTAATCATAATTCAAGAAGACGACAAATGCCGGAAAATTTTTTGAAACGAAATTAAGAGGCGATCGCAAACTAAGCATAAAAGAAGCGCTACTTTTTAAATGTTACCTGACTTCCACAGCAAGATAAAATTTCCAGCCTCATCACACTGAACGCCAAGTTAGCACGAACTTATAGCTCGATTTAGCTAAAACTGAATCAGTAGTTTCCATTACATCGAACGACAAACTCTTGTCTCCAAAAACGCGTTTTGCGGTGCGATTTCCAGTAGGATAGCAGACGACTTTTTCTTCCGTCAGTTGTCTTCTTGGACACAAATAATTGATTCTTCCCTTATTTCAATTTTCTTTTCCTTTCGTAAAAAAGAGATTCGAGAATTTCTGACGCCAATTACTATGAATCTCCCGGCCCAATCAAAGTGCCATCTATTTTCTCTGTATCTTACAAACTCAATACGTTACAATCAAATTCAATAGCTGACGTTTGAATTTTATGACATTACTGACAACCGCAATTCTGTAGCACATTGACATATGTACAACATATTAAACCTGACAAAATGACGGCAATACTAAATAAAATAATTACCTGTCACTCTCATAATTCACGGAAATTATTCTTTTCGTTGTTTGTCAAAGGCAAAAGAACGGAACAAATAAATTTGCTTTATTTTATGAAAGTGCCACTTTCGCCAAAATGATATTTGTTGAGTCGACTCCAGGTAAAAAGCACTGTTTTGCTTCCTTTACAAATATCATTCTTGTCACGAACAAATTTCCAACATCATCTATAATGAAATACGGCTGAAATAACTTTTTCTTATCACGTAAATAAGAAAATAACACATCATCCAGATTTGTAGGTTATTAGCTGCTTAAGAGTCATTAAGAATATTCAGTGCATTCTATCCTCGCATAAATAAGACAATAAATAAACGGTGGCCTTAATTCGCCTTTCTTCTTCTCTTTTTTTTTTAAATCGATAACTCCCGTAACTATATACACATAGAAGACGCAACATCTACTCGCGCGCAAATCATTTAGAATATTTGCCTTCTTCCAATGGCATTTTGGACGTGACCTTGCCAAAGATATACGAAGAGAAACGAACGAACCCGAAATTCGAATGAATATACTAAAAATAATCATTTATAATCATAGGTTATTGGAGCGCCTTCGTGGGATTGAATTAGCCCGCGTGGCTGGCACCGGTTAGTCCTCCCACTCTCTTTTTCTCCCTCATCCGCGCGCGCGTGCTCGAAATTTCTCCCTCCGCCCTAAAACCCGGCGCCTGCTAAGTAGGATAGGACTGTATGCGATCTGAAACCAAGTTTTCCTTCGTCGAAAACAAAACTGTTTGGTACTCCTTAAAATAGCAACAAAAATAACGGCACGAAAACGAGAATATTGTAACATTTTAGAAGAAGCTACAATTAGTAGTAAACTCCACATATTATGCTGCTCGTGTTATCACTGATAAATCCTTAATATTTTATCATTGGAGCTATCCACTAAATTTGTTTTTTTTTTTTTTTTCAATCTAGCGTATGCTGGATGCATTTGCGTATTGTTCAAAGCATCTACCTATCCCTAAACGTCACGGTGAGGTGCGAGAAAATCCCGATAGTATGAGTGAGACTGGCTGCAGTCCCACAAAGCAAAAGCCTTACATAATAACCAAATGCAATGTTCACATGGTGAAAAATTGCTAAAAAGACCTCATGAGGCAAGGTTGGTTCTGATATGACATCACCAAACAGCAGCACTCGTTATTTTAAATTTTAAATTCCCTCTTCCCGCTCCTATTTTAAGCTTGCATCACGAGTATCACCAAAAAAAGGCCACACCTAACATCCCGCCAGACCTATTGTGGATTCCGGCGCTGAGGAGGCCATAAGGACTCGAAATGATGATCCCGGGAAAAGTGATCGTCACACACGTGACGGCAAAGAGCAAGTTAATTCAGTGTGTCCGCACCAAGAAAAGAAATCCGGATTCTGAAAGCCTCAGTGACAAGAGTGCAGGGAAGTGGTGGACTTGTAAAATCCTCCAAAGAGGAGGAGACTTGACGCCATCGTTTTACTTGCAAACGTTACTTTCTGCCTTTCGAGAAGCGAATTGCCAAGAAAAAAGGAATGAAAAATATTTAACATGGAAGATACAACGAGAGAAAAAACTATCTACATAAAACTAAAAAAATAGAACACCGCACCAATTACGATTCAAAGAAATCCGTACAAATTATGACGAAAAACTCAGCATGCTCACGATTATCCAATCTACTATGAATTAAGAAACTCTTGAGACATTTTTACAGGTTGCCAGTGAAATAAAAGTACAATTCAAGGTTATAACTGGCGCCTCCTGGAAAAACATTGCCGCTCGAAGGTTTATAATCCCTTGCAGTTTGTGTAAGCAGGTGTTAATATCATTTACGTTTACAGAAACTACAATTATCTTTTCTTGACTTCCCTGTTTGAAAGTCAGCTTATTATGTACTGTGTACTTTGCGGAAGATGAAAAGCTAAAAACGGAAACAATAATGGAAAACTTATCTGGTCAGAGAAAAAGTTATTAAAATACAACCTATGAAAAACGTAAGCAGCACGAAAGATGAATGTTTGGCACGCAAACGGAAATGCTTCGAGATAGATCAGTGGTAGACTCACATCTAATCAAGCTACAGATCTTAGCTAAAACTCAGTTTGAATTCGGTTTAACTTGTTCAGAAGCCATAATATTAAAACATGGCTCAAGTTGCTTTCTTAAAACCCTTAACACTAGACTCAAATTTGAAGTAACGTTATTTGATCGCAACATAAAAGGCTGGACAAAATCAAAAAATAGTACTAAAATGCAGTTTACGGAAGTGGCTTTATCGCCATAATAAAAATACAACCTACTCAGTGAAATGTAAGCAACACGCAAGGCGAATATTTGACACGCAAACCTAAGACAGCGAAAGATTGAACCATGATTGAAGTGGTCTCTTATCAGACATTGTTTATCCATAGTATAATACCAGACTTATTACTGTTCTTATTCAAATACAACCGTCCATAATGTAAACTACATTCAAGACTAAAGTTTGACACTGCGAACAAGGAAACCGCTATGGAGGAAGAGTTTCAACTAAACTATTCATAAATGTCATATGTAATGCAAATGTCATAAATGTTTTTGGTTATGGAATTAAAGCTCTCGTGAAAATGGATAGCATCTTGAAAACGTCGAGCCCACACACTCATGTTTTACGTTTTTCTTATATTGACAATTTCAATCAAACTGCTTTATGTGCATTTGAGCAAAAGAGAAGAAATCTCCAGGACACTGTCACTTTCAGCACAGACTGAATAAACACATCGGTCATTTTGTCATGTATTGCTTCTTCCTCAGACTCAATTTAGAGACCATGTATGCTTTTGCATTCTAATAGGAGCCCATGGGCTCTTCGTTCTAACAAATGGCGTGAAAGGCACAACGCTGCAGCGCGATTAGTCTTATCACTGGTGTAAAACCTTACTGAATACTAATAAGATCACAAAAAGGAACGTTTGACGTAGTTTGCGCCAGACGCTCGAGGCAAGATTCAGTTAAATTGGAAGGGAGTGGGGGTCATGTTTGTGATCAAACATTAAATGAGGCTGTATACCCACTAAAAGTGCTATTGAAAACGGTAACCTTTTGCCTCCCCTTTACTTTGTTACAAGGCGTAATAGAAAAGAAATAGAAGTCAAAGTTTAAGATACCTGATATTGGTCAAGTTATTTCTACTCAAAACGGCAGAAAAGGTTCATTCGTTACTCGTTCTTTCTATTGATTCTTGACTCTACTTAGCGCTCCAAGGAAACAATAAAAAGAGCAACGAAAGTGCCTTTTTAGATTTTGAAGGTTTGGGCGAAAGAAACTATCCGTGCGACTATAAAAACCCTTAAGTTTAGAATTCATTTTAAGCTACTTCACTAATAGCACAAGCCGAAAACAAAAGGAGCCTGACAGCGATATCTCATTCGCATGATTCATCACTGCTAACTGTCCTTGACTAATGGATGATGATGTTTTGGGATAGAAGGACATATCTATATCATATGGGCAAGATTGAATCATGAACCGTGATCTCAAAGATAAAATTTTTTAGTTGGTAATGGAGCCAAGCACCTCGCAGAATAAAGTTAATAAAAAACACAACTTATTGCCTCATCTTAGCAATTAAAGTACGGCAGCTACTTTACGGTAATCTGATAATCCAGAAGACAAATCCAAGAGTTCATTTAACGCTGTACGTAGTCTAAAGACAATGAATTTGGTTCAGCGAAACGACCTATAAATGGACTTTATAATAAATAGCTGCGAAAATGCTGTCATATATCTGCCAATTTCCAGTTTCAAGTTAGGCAAGGCATCGCATTAAGAAAGATCCTGTCCTCTTTTTGTATCAAAAAATAGTTCATTTCCAGTTAATTTTGACAAATTAACGTATTTAAGTCATACATAAAAAATAAAAAATAAAAAAAACCCTTAATTTAAGGGTATACTGAGGAAACAGACGATCGAGCGAACGATCGAAATATAATTGACTCGAGAAAGCTACTCAAAAAAATTGATAACAGATATAGTTCTGACCGTAGCAAAAAAAAATGCGTAAGACTGAATTGAATAAAAAAAAATAATGCGCCATGTTGAACCACGCCGAGAGTCCGTCGAGAACGTGCTTGAAAATTGTTTTGCTATCTCTGCGGCATTGACTTCTAGCCGGAGGCAAAAGTAATATTTCAATCAATACAAATTACATGTCCGCTTGACGTGGAAAAAGGAAAAGAAAAACGCTATCCGTCACGGTATTGTCCAAATCGTGGTCTTCGCTAAAATAACATATTTTGTTTTATACACAAAAGGCGAAAAAAAAAAATTCAAACGATAATTCATAAATAAATTCACTCTCGCGGTGTTATCATCATAGCGTTTAAAAAACTGGACGCAAAGACGTAGCCTTTATCTGCTTATCAATAGCTATTAAAAAAGCTCGATATTGCTTTATTAAACAGCCTTTAGCAATTGAAAACATAACATCAGCAATAGGGTAAAGCAGGCGCAAGCAATCCGCGGACAATTTACAAATGAATAAAACGTGTTCGCCTAAAAGCAACCTGCGAAAAGACTTTTAACACTTCACCTCGATGAGTTTTTGAGTTCTGCTCCACTTGTCTTCCCATATTCCTGTCAAACGTTTCATGAGATCCTCACTTTCCTGGAGCTTTCTCTCCGTTTTGTCGACCTCTGAGGAATTCGATACATCACCACTCTGAAATGCAAAAGAAAATGAATACAGCAAAGAGAATGCAAGGTCCATTCGGCTAGCTAGGACATTTTGCCATTCAGCTAGCACTTATCTGCGGGAAAAAAACTGTGCATGTTTTTTTCTAACGCTCTTCAAGTCCTTTTTAACTAGGTCTTAAGGTGACAAAAAGGGAAGAAAAAACGAGCGCATCTGAACAGCAAATCGAAGGCAAGGTTTATGAGAAATACTTTACGACGTTGCGAGGTGATATCATGTGTATGTTGAACAAAAACTAAAAGCAAAAACTACGTACGCCGTTTGTGACACTTTATACCTGTGGAAAGACTGCCGACGCTAATATACGAACAATACGCATTGCTGAAGGTAGAATTTCACCAAATCGATCTTCCCGAACTTTGAATGTAGTGATCACGCTGGCTCGTTAGACTTAAAAGCCTGTCAAGATTGAGCAAACGACTTGTTTTTTGAATTACATCGTGAAAATGAGGTTATTGAATAATGGGGAGAGATAACAAAATTAGTCACGTGACTACGAGAACGCTGAATGTCGGTGACAATCGCATAAAAAGAGCGGTAATCAAGGAGGAAGCAAAACATCAGAATAAAAAGATTTCGACCACGATGAACACAAAACGCAGAGTGCACCTTGTTTATGATATCTCGAGCCGAGGTTAAGAAGAAAACGCGCTAAGAAATTGGTAAACAAAAAACGAAAGTACATGTAAATTCGAGGGATAGATCAAAGCAAAACATCCGAACAATGCCAGATTCGTCTAAGGTGAACAAAAGAACTAACTGAATTTGATCAAAGAGTGAAATTTGCAGAAGAGGCGGCCTTAAGTCCACAAATTTCATAATAAACAAGAAGAGAACAAAAATGCCTGACAACACATGTACGTCGTATTAATAACTATACCCGTAGTCCTGAGAAGCGAAAAAACCGGAACATGTAGAAAAAACCGCTTATGGCCTCAGGGTCATCGTTTGAAGGTATCCTCTATACTTGTCCGTTTTCAGTATTTCGACGGCGAGGTTCAAAGGCTCCACCTTACGCGCGCTAAAGGCTTTCGCAGAGGAGTCGATAAAATTTTCGCCTTATTTAGTCCGCGCAACTGTTTGTTTTGTGAGAATTACGGAAAATAGCAAGCACCTGTCCCTAGCAAGCAGCTGGTGACGGAAACGTCGTTCTGGGGCGACTCTCCAGCAAGATTGCGTCGGCTTACGAGGTTAACAACAAAACCTCATAACAAGATAAAGCTGAAAAGGTCACCGCGACAACCACAGTTTGAGTGCGACAGAATGGCGATCAGCACGCCGCATGGTTCCAGCGTACTTTTCAAGGGAAAGGTTTTTTCGTTTTATTATCTACATGAATATGAAGCTGTTTCTTTCATACAGTGATTAAATTGGATATGAAAAAAGTGTTGGAGCCAATTTGATCCCACAGCAAGCTATTGTTCGATGAAAATTGTTTTGAAGTCTTTAATTTTATCTCAAGTACGTCAGCAAAGGAAACACAATCGTAACAAATTACTAACACGGGTACAGATCGTTGGATTTTAGTCTTTACGGGTGAAATCTTGATAAATGCGCTACTAAGTATGACAAACGACTACAACAACAGTTAGTTGATCTATTGGTGACTTTTAGCCCTAGATTTATGACCCCGATATCGACAAAATTACCAATTAACAAATGCATAAACATCGAAATTCCACAGAGTAAGCCACATTAGAAACTTCAACTTAAACAATTAGAGTGTCTTAATTGAAATGCTTTCAAATAACAAAATTAAGAATCGCGAAAGAAAATCCATATAGCGTGGATTTATTCAGCGTAAGACGAATTACAACTTACCAATAGCGAAATAGACTTCCAACGAAAAAAGCAGCCAGAAAACTAAGAATGTGGCCATTTTTTTTCCCTCTTCTCTGCCTACCCTTTTCGCTCTCTTTTTCCTGTTCTCGTCTTTATGTGGTGTCAGTGATTTTCGGTCTTGTCAAATCGCTAAAAATCGCGATGGTTTTGGCCTTATAATCTGGTCAAATGACTGCAATTTTCGGAAGCTAACATTCAGCTCGATTTAAATTTCAGGAAACAGATCGAAGAAGCTGAAGAGGCTATGCAGCAGAGAACATCGCTTTAGTAGGGAAAACTGAATAAAGACGAGAATGGAAATGACTTCTAAACTGAAAAGACCTGAAAATCTTTACCAATAAGGAGCTTTCCGATAAAAGAAACCTTTGTTCCAAATCAAGATTAGAGGCCGGACACACTTTTAAATCTTGACGGTGGGAAGTGAAATTTTTGCGGGAGTTTAATTTGCGGTTAATCGATTTTTATTTGTGTTTTCAGGGAATTACTTTTGCGGTTGGTAAAAACGGGTTTTCGTGCTGGGAAATTCATTTTTGCCATCTTAAGGACATGCTTATTTGAGCACGTACGCAATCACGATTTAACACAGCGGAAACAAAGACCAAATGACTTTAGAGTATTCCGAGCATAATAATACTGCAATGTCATTGGAAAATCAGATTGAGTGGCGGATTGCTCTGATTCACGTCGGTATTGGAGTTTGCCTTCAGACACCTCCTTCTTCAGTATGATAATTTTGAATCTTCAAGGCCCAGTGGGCAAATAGTCACCTATAAATCCCCAAAAATTAAGTCATGCGGGTCCCATTAAGATTGACAGTGAGAGGGTGTGTAATATTAATTGCCAGGTTCAAACTGACTGTGAGGGAGCACGAATTAGACAAAGCAAAAAGAACTTCACGAAGGAGACGATGGAAGGATAAAGATAGACTCTGGGTATAACGAAATGGACAATAACGCAAAATAATAATAATAATAATAATAATAATAATAATAATAATAATAATAATAATAATAATAATAATAATAATAATAATAATAATAATAATAATAATAATAATAATAATAATAATAATAATTTTTTTAATAATAATAATAATAATAATAATAATAATAATAATAATAAGCAAGCGAATATTAACGTTAAAAGCCGACGTTTCGGTATCATCATGACACCATTCTCAAGGCAAAATGAATAAGTAATGCGACGATTTGATTTCTATAGTCTCTACAAATAGAAATCAAATCTTGGCATTACTTATTCATTTTGCCTTGAGAATGGTGTCATGATGATACCGAAACGTCGGCTTTTAACGTTAATATTCGCTTGCTTATTTAAGAAATCGTTATTAATCAAGAATAATAATAATAATAATAATAATAATAAAATTTAAAAAGCACTTAATTTAGCTTAGAAAGAGTTAATTTAACTAAGAAAAATTTATTCGAATTAAAGACATTTCATTTCAATAAAGAAAACTGTCAGCCTCTAAAATTCAAAAGTTTCTTTCCAATAATAATAATAATAATAATAATAATAAAATGAATAATAATAATAATGATAAAAACTATTCAACTGTAGTTCTATCCTGGAAGCCATGATAACGCATTCAATACGTTATTATTTCATTTCGTTCGTTTCAATGAACATTAAAGTTTAATGTTCGGAACTAATCGATCAATAAATTCTCTGTTTTCATTTATTAATTATGGCGCCTGGGGCTCTGACATATTTTACTAAGGCAGCAGGCTTGTCAACACAGAGAAATTCAGTCCACTTATGAATGGACGGATTACTACAACAATTGCTTAAAAAAAAACCTGATCCTGAAGAAAATATATTAATAAAGCATACCTTTAACCTCTTTTTCAGAGTGTGTATTTCTAACTTGAGCTCTTTGATCAATTTCACATTTTCGTCCTGAAAATACAAAGCGCAAATTACTTGAAGCACCGTAAATACCAAGAGCCATAATATTATGGCTCGTGGTGAATACCTATAAGCGCGTTTGTGCAACTTGTCTCAGTCAAAAGGGAGTTCGTGGTGCAGTGAGGTTATATCCGTTAGCCGAGAAACTAGGCAATTTTCATGCACCAATTATATAGGTGCGCTCTATGAGCAAGAGATTATTTCCGGAGTAGGTATTTAGGGCCAGTTATTTTAAACGAAGTCTGACTTTCTCGTGGCATAGAGACTCAGCGGGCCTCTACATAAGTATAGAACGGGCTCTCTAGTTTGGGCTGCAAGCCTTCTTACGCTAATAACAGCAAACTATGTTTAGGTGTGATGGCTGGACAAATTTAAAAGGGCTTAGAACGGGGTTTTATTAAGCAGTTAGCTGAACTCAAGCCCAAACTACGCCTGTAAACCTTTCCCTTTTGTCAGGACAATGTTTGAGCCAATCTTGAATTTATTCGCTGTACAGGTGTATGAGGGCGAGGCTGTATCCTCTGCAGGCGTTGATCCAAGCTATCTGCGCATCACGTTTTGTGTGCAGTGATTTGATTTTTTAAGAGTAAAACCTAGGGAGCTTAACAACAACGACAGCGACGAAAACGTCATTTAAAAACTGAATTGGCGCTGATTTAAACTTTTTCGCGCTTATTCCATCTCGTTCAAATCGTCAAATTTTTCTGGAGTTGAATTCTAAAGGTGTATCGAAGTTTAGGAACAGAAAAAGAAAGTCGTTCTCTTGTGTTCACGTTCCCCACAAAACGTGAAAATAGGCACTTTAACGTCATAGTCGTGCAATGACGGCGAAATGTAGAAAAAAGCGTGATGCATGGGCAGAGTTGTTGTTTTGCCAATCTAAACCTATCGGGCCGCTTATTTAAACGGAGTTTAACCAGTGTTTACCAAAACCTCGTTCTAAGTCACTTTCAGTTTGTCCAACGCTTTTGTCTGAACACCATTTGTCGTGAACAGTTTCACCAAAGCATATAGTGTAGACTAGAAGAGCATTTATCTTTTTAAATGAACTCACTTAGGAAGAGATTTGAAGGTCCAAAGATTTCTTAAACCGCGTTTTAAGTTAGACTTCGTTTAAATAACCGACCCATTGCTTTTTTCACGTTCTCGTAGCTGTCGCCGTCCCTGTTGCTTATGTTCCCTGACTGTTCCGCAATCCTCAAAAGCAATTAGAACATAGACAGTGAAAAACAGTTAAGTGTTTTTCAAACTTGGTAGACTTGGTTCCCTCTTTGTTTGCTTATTTTTTTTTTTTGTTTTTCTCAAATCAAAGCTTACCTCATTTACTCTAGGGTCATTCACTATATTTTTAGCTTGATTTGCGAATCTCAGCGTGTTCAGCGTCTCATTGTGACAAGAAGCAGATGGTGAAACAGCAGCGAGCATAACTGTTCGACAGTTTCCACCAAGACAATCTTTCAATATCCAAGTCAGCGCCTACAACAAAAAGAAAAAAAATCAATTACTGATTTATGCCATTTTTACACTATAACGATACCAGATAGCTCTTACGCCAACACAAAAACCATACCGAATAGGACCGTAGTTCACACACAAGAAACGGTGATTTTGGTGTGTTTTGCCATTCTTCGTCGCAGTGTAAACGGGTGTTCGGGCCGTAGCGGAAGTAAAATGAGTAGGAGCGAGGACTGAAACCCACTGAACCGGAAGTAAATATTCAAAAGTGAGGATTGAGATCAAGTGCACCAAACTCTCTCCGCCAACCGCTCCGTACGATGTTTGATGTGTGTGTACGACTTGTTTCACTTCCGTACCTTTGCCGTTCGTACTTTACCGGACAGCTTTACATGTTGGCACGAAAAACTATCCGGCATAGTGCAGACACAAACTTATACGTGTTGATCTCAATAATAGGAAGCTTAAGCAGCAACGACGGCGACAGCTATGAAAACGTCACTTAAAAGGAGAATTCGCGTTGCCTCAAACTTTATCACGCTTATTCCAGGTCGTTTAAGTCGTTAAATGTTTGCAAATATTTTTGTAGTTGAATTCTAAAAGACTGTATCAAAGTTCAGGAAAAGAAAAAGAAAGTTGTTTTCTTGTGTTCACGTCCTCGACAAAACGTTAGTTTAGGCGTTTTCACGTTGTAGTAGTGCAGTGACGGCAGAGAAATGTACGAAAAAGCGTGATGCACGTGCAGAGTTGCTGTTTACCAATCTAAACCTATTGCTTTTTAGCCGTCCTCGTTGCCGTCGCCGTCGTCGTTGCTTAAGGTGGCTCGACTGGATTTTTTTGGGGAGATACCTCCCAAGTTTGAGCATTAACTACGTCGGCATGAGTAAAGATATCGAAAAAAGGTTACCACAACTGTATTATATAAAGATGAAAATTTCTTATGATCTGGGTTTTATTGCAATCGGAGTCGCCATGGCAACGTAATGACGCTGTTACGTTTTTCATTTATCCTTGTGTTTCTCTGTACCAGGAGTTTTTTGAAGAAATCGCTTAAGGGAGTATGTACCTGCCATAATTGCCTCCATTATGGCAAAGTTTGAAGAAATTCTATGAGAGCGTTTTCGAAATATTTCGAAATGTAGTTTTAAGAATCATCAAAGCAGTGAAATAGCATGCTAGCCGCTCAATTCGCTCATATTTTAAGAAAATGATAAGCTTTGGGAACGCGGCTTCATCTCATAGTGGTTTGATTCCATTGAAAACTGCATACAAAAAAAGAGGGGAATTGCTCTGGGCGATCGCGAGCAAGAAGAATTTTATTAACTTGCATTCAGCTGGTTTTGATACAGTTTTTGGAGGTAATTTGGTCTATGCCTAAGAATTTCGCATTTTTCCAAAAACCGCTCGATAAATTTTGTTATAAATTCGACAATCCCGAGATCAATCGTCAAGAAATATTCCCTGCAAGTTTCAAGGACATTGAAAACAGGGAAGGCTTTTAAATAGGGACTCAAACAAAACCAATTTTCCCCCCAGATTTTGTGTTTAGAAGTGAGCGTCCTCATTATTCACTGGCATTGTTTTCAAGTTTCATATGCACGTGCACAACTAGCAAGATATAAATTTGCATCAAAAAGAACTCTCGATTACTTTCCGAAGAAATATCCGGTATATGCTAATAATTGGCTTGTCGTCACAGATAGCAGTGAGAGCCGAAACGGTGAACGTCACGGCTCATCGTGTAGGATGCAATACTTAATTATCTTACTCGGGTTATAACATCACAGAAACTCTCACAAAGAGTTGCTCTGATGTTATAATGTATCACTAACCTCTTTACCCGGTAATTAGCATATCCCGGAGATTTAACTGAGGGTCCTTTTTGATGCAAATTCGATCTTTTTGCTAAATGTGCACGTGTATGTGAAACTTGAAAACAATGCCAGTGAATAACGAGGACGCTCGCTTGTAAACACAAAATCTGGGGGGAAAATTGGCTATATTTGAGGCCCTATTTAAAAGCCTTCCCTGTTTTCAATGTTCTTAAAACTTGGAGGGAATATTTCTTGACGATTGATCTCGGGATTGTCGAATTTATAAAAAAATTTATCGAGCGGTTTTTGGAAAAATGCGAAATTCTTAGGCATAGACCAAATTACCTCCAAAAACTGTATCAAAAGCAGTTGAATGCAAGTTAATAAAATCCTTCTTACTCGCGATCGCCCAGAGCAATTCCCCTCTTTTTTTGCATGCAGTTTTCAATGGAATCAATCCACTATGAGATGAAGCCGCGTTCCCAAAGCTTGTCATTTTCTTAAAATATTAGCGAATTGAGCGGCTAGCATGCTATTTCACTGTTTTGATGATTCTTAAAACTGCATTTCAAAGTATTTCGAAAACGCTCTCATAGAATTTCTTCAAACTTTGCCATAATGGAGGCAATTATAGCAGGTACATACTCCCTTAAGCGATTTCTTCAAAAAACTCCTGATACAGAGAAACACAAGGATAAATGAAAAACGTAACAGCGTCATTACGTTGCCATGGCGACTCCGATTGCAATAAAACCCAGATCATAAGAAATTTTCATCTTTATGTAATACAGTTCTGGTAACTTTTTTTCGATATCTTTACTCATGCCGACGTAGTTAAGGCTCAAACTTGGGAGGTATCGCCCTAAAAAAATCCAGTCGAGCCACCCTAAGCTCCCTGACACAAGAACACAACTGTTTTTATTTCATTGATTATCCTATTCTTTTCTGTTTTGTCTGCACAAAGGATTGAGGTTTTCTTTTAAATCAAGTTGCGAACAATACAGCTATCGACTGGCGCCAGACAAAAAACAAAAAGTTTTGTTTACGGGCCGTTTTTAAGGTTCGGCAATGCGAGAGCGGTTGGGGTGATAAAAATAAAACACGAAAACAAGAGTATAGCTACCTACACAAACGTACGTGAAAAAATGTTAAAAAATAAAGGCAAAGCTAAACAAATATAAACAATAGAAGGGGAAAAAGTCATGAACGGAGTTGATGGTTGCAATATTCGCTGTTTTTCGCAATTCCTGGCGTCCACAATGAAGCCACGGGTGATTAGTGTACAGCGCGGGTGCAAAGTGCTGCAGCCAGTGTAGGAAAAAGAAGGGAAACTAGGGGCCAAAGCAAAACAGGCAATAACAAACAGCGCCATGTTGACGAGCCTTGGATGTCACTTGTTGCAAAACAAGTTTGCCTTAAACCGGTAAAACGCGCAACATGTACAATGTACAGATTTTGTTGCAAAAAGTAGGACTACTCTCTACTTTCTGCAACAACTTCTCGCAACCTGCAACAACCTCCTTTGTCGCAATACAGGTTTGAACGTGGGTGGTAAAACACGCAACATCGTTATTCAACTCGTTTTGCAGGAAAGTTGCAAAACAAGGTGCACGATTTTGCGGCCCTTTCACTCCCATTTTTAATGTGCAAGGCGAAATCTGCATAACATCAAACACCAGTAATTACAGCTGGGACTTGAGAAAATGAATACGCCATAAATTGGGCACCTTCATAAGCCAAAAGGCATCATCAGGTGACTCGAGTTGGTACGACTGTGCATGACGCAATTCATTCAAACAGTTTTCATGTCATTATACTTTTTTCCACCAATAAGCTAGCTTCATCTTACACATCAACAAAACACATCCCATAATTCTTTCGTTGTCTCTAAAAAATACTAAAGTTTGTGATGTTAGTTGTCAATCTCTTATTGATGGTCATTTCATATTTTAAATGGGAATTTTTTTTATACTTACAGAGTCGTTGTATGGGACGGGAGGGCCGGACGTTGACGAGTTTGAGCCGCGGTTTGCTAACGTAGACATCACCCGCTCCAGCGTCATCAGAGATTTGTCGCCATCAGAAGTGGAACAGCTGTCAGAACACTTAAACATAAAAATTAAAACAGAAACACCTCGATTTTTGAGCAACATAGAAACAAACAGTTTATTCATCAATTACGGCTCAAACTGAGCTGCATGAGATAACAGTTGGTTATTGATCAATGTACAACTAAAACTGACCCTACCCTCCCTCGCAGACGTTCTTTATAGGGCTTCGTGCCTCTGTCACGCATTCCTTCACCACGAAGGACTTGGCCCATACCCGACGAAATCTGTGGTTGAGCAGTGCCTTCCGGACAAAGGTAAGCAGTAGCATAGACTATCATTTTGCTGATGAACAAAATCTACCTTGAGCACTTATGAATAGGCCCAATACAGCTGGTCATTCACGTGGTACACTGAAGACCGTCATACTGGAGAAAAAGAGACGCACGGAGAAGAGACAGACAAAGGAAATTACTATTTTAAACGATACGAGCTCTTTGCTTGGTCTTGTCCGGTGCTTCCTTTGCTCTTCAGCTTGGCGTTTGTTGCGTGAATGACTTGTTACAAAGGGCCTGTTGTCACTGCCACGATTATCGGAGAGAATACATGGCAGTAATCAGTAGTAAAGGCCCGGATGAAAATTACTTTGTGTAATTCTGGTTTTAACCAGTACAAAATGGTAGTCTTGCTAACGTTGTTGTTGTTGTTGTTGTACCTGCGAAACTTGTGTCTACCATTGTCTACCATGCATAGTTTTCGTTTACGACGCATGAGGCATTCTCGATTGAGTATAATCACACTTTCATATTGTCTGACCAGAATGGCGCCTAACTCCGGACATATCTCATTTGCAAGGAAGGCAAATCATTTGTAACTATCAATTACCTCGTCATGTATGCTCTTGCTTCCTGCTAAATCCACAAGTTGAATCACACTGACAATTTCACTTGGCAAATTTTCTTCAAGACGTGCCTAAATATATCAAGAATATTAAATATTTCCTCGAAACAGCAACGTGCGAGTTGACTGTAAATACAAATCGCCTCAAACTCAGGAAAAAAAGTCATGTATTTGATTGTTGTTATTACCTGGGTAAACCTTATGGTAAAGATTGTATGCGAACTACTGGAAAATGAATCTGACGCTCTTGAACAAACTGATCTGTAAAAATGAAACAAATGTTCTGTCAGATTCGTAGAAGCACATGTATGTTCAAATATGTTTCGATTATTTTATTGATTTATATTTATTATTATTATTATTACTATTATAATTATTATTAATGTTTTTTTTTTTTCAGTGAAAAGTATGTACATTTAAATGATTGTAGGAATGAACCAATGACATCAACATCGGAGACCCGTCCCTCGGGACTGTGAGTGAGTGTTCCGACAGTCTGTAAGAGCGTGGTACAAGAGGAATTTCTTTTGAAAACATTTGCGGTAGAGGAGGAACATGTGCTGACACAAGCAAGAATTATGGGGCAGAAAGGGAATCTTATAGCGTTGGCCGGGATATGTGAATTTCACTACAGTTATTTTAAGAGGTTGTGATTTAACGGAAGTCTAAATACTGGGACGTCCGCACATTTCAAGATCGATTTTTTGAAATGTCGTCGACTTCACGCGCAACTGCCTCAAACAAAACAATGCAGAATATTGTATCAGCGACTGTTGAACTCTCTCTTGACAAAACTGAATGAAAGTTTGTGGCCCTCCCTGGAAACCAACTTCCGCCGGATAAATTACAAGCGTTTAATTGGTCTAAAAATAACTTGGCTAAAATGCACAAATCCCAAGGGCTCGGCTGGGCGTTTACCTCTCTGTCTTGTTATTCTCTCTTGGTAAAAACAATTCGAGGAGTCTACAATGGCGGAATAAACTTTATAGAAAAAACCTTACCTTAAACAAAATCTTAGAAATAGAAGATTGTTGTGACGAGCTTCAACAAAGGACAGCCATTTACTTACAGCTGTATACTCGGGTGAATAAGATACGTCACATGTACAGGTTTGTACAGTAGTCAGTGATGAAAAGAAAACTTAAATCCTTGACAAAACTCCAGCTCTTATTTGGGAGCTAATGACCTCAACCTTTGTTACAGTAGACAGCTAAAAACCTCACCTATTTTTCTTCCCTTTATCAATCAATCCAAAAACTTCACTAACATCTGTAACAATATGTTTTGTCAATTTGTCGACATACACACCAAATTCACGGTGCTCACGTACTGCAAGGAAAGTAAATTTTAAAAAAGCACAATAATTATGCATATTTCTATTAAAATAATAATCTTAAAAGTATTTACAAGAGAAGGTAACCTGAGATCAGCTTTTCATTTCGCCTTGCCTGTGGGAATTCTATTCACCAGGTGAAAGAAAAATAGAGCCTGATCTTACATTGTAGATTCTAGAGAAAGAGATGAGAATCCAATTTGATACTGAATCTTGTTTTGCTTGACCCAACAATGAACTTTTGCAAGCTTGTTTCTTGGAAGTTTTTTTCCATGAGAAGGTTGCTTATTTCCCCCATTGATTCCCATTGATTCCTATTGATTGATTCCATTTTTTTTTCAGTGGTGGGGAAACTTATACACAGGGTAGTCCCCACTCCCTTCCCTCAGAACTTTGTTCACTTCTGATCTATACACTGAGAGAGAGAGAGGATACATGTGAATGAGTTTGGACAAGCTTTTCAACATCTCTCTGCTAATCAGTGTGTAGTGTATAGATTCACTCAAATTGACAATTAAGTCTTTTATATGATGAACTGAATTTGACTGTTGGCATTTTTATGTTGAAATAAATGATTAGCAGACAAGCTTATAGGAATGCTTACTCAAGCTTATCAAGTCAGGTGATCAGTCTCTTGTACAAACTGGACCAATTGCAAACTCTCACTCTGTAATTGTACATTAGTACAATGGTTATTTGGAGAATAGGTCTAAATGCATTCATGCGGTTAACAAAAAGTAGTTTTGCTGAACAAGACAGTCTGCTAAGGGTTGACAATTTCTTTTTCCAGTTTAAAGCTGCTTAAGTCAACATCTGATCAGATAAAGAAATGGCTAAATTTGAAAGCAAAACAGATGTAAGTTTTCAAAAGACCAAAAATATACAGTTCTATTTATCATCTTTAACTGCAAGTGCAGAACCAATAATTTTTACTATACAATGCAAGGCAACAAGTATATCAGTCATTCAAGTTTATATACTTCGTAATGAGTCCTGCCAGTTTCTTCTTCTTCCCAGCAAATCCTTCACAAATTCTTTGTGTATTTCAAGAAAACTGTACAAAACAAAAAATGCCGCTGTTACAAGAACTCAGTGTACTACAGCCGGGTGTATGGCATCTTCAAGAAGTACTTTTTTTTGGCATTGTACAAACCAAAATTTGAATTTTTTTGTCTGATACTGATGTTGGCCACTTTGGGACTGACAGAGTAGAATAAGTGCAAAAATTCCTATTTTCATGCTTTTATTCCCCATGCTATACAACTGGACACCAGTGCCTTCTTGGTAAATTTGCAGACATTCAAAGTGTACCAAGTTCAACCTAAGGAGGAGTATCTGCTAGGTGCAGAGTGGAGCAAAATTTCTGTTCCTTCTCTGAGGTTATACACCTAGATTCCGCCTCCCTTAGCAAATGACTGTAAATTTGTAACCACTCAGAAGTTACCTAGTGTAATTAAACTGCTAGCTGGAAAGACTATCCATCTGGGGTCACAGTAGAAAAAAAATCCTTGTTTTTAATATGCTTCCTTCCCTGACGCCATACACCTGGATGCTTGCTCTTGGTAAATTTGTAACCATCAAGAATGTATACGTTCGTTACAAATTCCAACAAAGAGTATCCATGGGGTCTATGTCCATTATAATAGTGGTGCAAAAATTCATATTTCTTCATGCCTTCTTTTCCTTAATGATGCTATATATCTGTATGCCTGTCCCTTTGGCACATTTGCAACCAAGATGGCTGCTTATGGTCACAGTACAGTGCTCAATCGAGTAATAGAGGTAGGGGGAATGTAATCTTTCAACAAAAAAATCATGATATCAAGTTGTACTGATAAATGCAGACATTTCTCAAGAGGAAACCTTTCTTACTGATAAAAGGAGAGAGCAAATATACTGAAATGTAAGGACTTTCCCATAAAAGAAAATTCAATAAATTTTTCTCCAATCCATGTACATAAAGTCAACCCCTTATAACAGTAAAAGAAAAATTATACCTGATTTCAGCTCTGAAAGATGTATCATCATCATAACATGAAGCTCTTTTGAAAAGGTTTTCACAAATCCATGACATGAGACCTTGGCTTTTATCTGTTCCAAACATGATGTGCGTCTTGCCACTGCCACATGCCCCATAGCTAAACAAACAACTGTTATAACCACTAAAACATGATGAGAGTACAAACTGGCCAACCTCTTCCAAAACCTGCAAAAAAAAGGCACCATCATCATAGAAATGTAAAAAGGCATTTGAACTGGAATAGATTGATCCAATTTATAACTTGATCCCATTTTAACTATTTATAGGCGTGGTGATCTATTACAGTACATGAATCAGAATAAGTTAAAAATAAACAATATTATAAAAATGATAAATAAAATACACTTTTGTAATTAATGTCTCTGGACAACTCTATAAGACAGAGGAGACCTTTCTTGAAACAAACCTTCTTAAACAGAGTTTACTGTATGCTTTTATTCACATTTTTCTCCCAGAGGTGGTAATGGTACCATATAAAGGCAGGGCTTAAAATTGAATAACTCTAGCTTGTTCTTTTGGAAGCAACTCAATCATTTTGCTTGCCCACGACCAATTCTTGCCCATCTTTGTTACTTAATAATTTGTTTAGAGAATTAATTGCCTGAAACCTTCCCCATTGGGAAAGTAAGTGTACTTGCCCAGCAAGAAAATCTTCTTGTCCCAGACTACTGCACAGGATTTTTTTTAGGCCCTGAAAGGTATATTGTAATGCAGAAGAGATCCTGCGTAGAATTTCATTAGCATGCTCAAAATTTAGAACCAACTTTTCAAACAAAACAAAGGCCATAAAAAAATACTGCTCAAAATATAGGGTTCAGTTGAACAGTATAAAAACACCACAGGTTAGTTGGGGAGATTTGGGAAATTCTTGCACAATAAAGTATTTTTCATATAATTAGACAATATTACCAAATTTAATGCACTATGATGGCTTTTATCCTTTTTTTCTGACCTGGGTACTGCTGCTTTCTACTTCTTTTATAAAGTTCACTTTGGATTCTAGTCCTTTTCAGATACATTAATTTACACAGTCATGCATATCACACATCATGTCACGCCGTGGGTTGCTCCAGAATTTTATTTATGATTACGTAATCATGCATACACAATGACAGTTTCCAGCAGTGAAAATAAGTCTATTTACACCGTATTTTCTAAAACATAGAACGACCTAAAACCACCTAAAACCATCTAAAACCACCTAAAACCACCTACAACCACCTCAAAAAATTCAACAACCACCTACAACCATCTACAACCACCTCAAAAACATCTAAAACCACTCGCAAACAATCTAAAACCATATAAAACAAGGTATAAATGTCTGAAATAAGGCGAGGCGACAACATGTCACGTACATGAAATACGAGAATCGAACAAAACATCCACTTCCCCCCAAAATCTTACTCTGCCTGGTCCCTTGTATCATCAAACATTGGCTTAAGTAACAAAATGAAATGCGAGATCATGCTAAGTATATTAAAAGATTTAAAGAACTTTCCAAAATGAACTATCAAGTCACAAAAAATAATAAGATAAAATAATAAACTCGTAGTCGAAAAGCTTTTTGTACCCTGGGTACCAGTGAGATGTTTTGGTTCACGTTTCATTTTTTGCGTAATGGCACAAGGTAGGGTTTCTCTCTCTCTCGGAGTCTGCTTCACTGCTGTTTTGTTCTGAGGTGGCGGATTACATTCCTAAGAGCAAATTAATTTTTTTAGCATCTGTTTATCATCGGCACATGTCTGTACATTCCAGATGACTCCTTTAGATGAACCCTAGTGTCTTTCACACCCGTTTCCTGTGTCATCATGCAAGGCTAAACTCCCGATCCTTGCATCACAACACAGGAAACGGAGACTAGTAGGTGTAATCATTGTTAAAAATGTTATTAAAAAAAAATCTATAATGCAATGGATTCAGAAGAAAACAAGTTAAGACGAGCCTAAATTAATAAAAATGGTATGAAAAATTTTAATAGTGAATGATTGTATTTAAAGTAATTTACCTGGATTTTTAATACCTTTATTATGTTTTGGAACCCAACTCTTCTTGGGAGTGATGGGATATGCGCGCTTCTTATTTTCACTTTGCTCGTTGTAAATACGTCCCCACTATACTATCTGAGAGCCTGGCACAGGCTAGAGTAGCTGGAACTTTACGAGCTAAAACGGAACGAAAAATTTGGATCACATATTCGGGTGTTCCCTCCCTGCCAAGGGCCGTTACTGGTATGAACGTTTTGATTCATTTTGCTGAAAAAAATGTCAAATATCATTATATAATGTTTTCTAATTCTTGCAACTGTAAACGGGTTAATAGCTGTATAAAATCAGGCTCTACAGGTGAGATACGTTCACACTAGACTAAAGGATTCTGCGGGACTACATTTTAGTTCACCCTAAAAAATGGGGGGGGGGAGGCTAGGACTAAAAAAAGAGGCTAGTGGAGAAAAGTGTGGGCCGGGGTCGGATGCTAAGATTGGAAAGTAAAAGAGACTGGTGAAAATGACATATCATGGGGGAAGTGGATGTTTTGTTCGATTCTCGTATTTCACGTATGTGACATGTTGTTGTCTCGCCTTATTTCAGACATTTATACCTTGTTTTAGATGGTTTTAGATTGTTTGCGAGTGGTTGTAGATGTTTTTGAGGTGGTTGTAGATGGTTGTAGGTGGTTGTTGAATTTTGTGAGGTGGTTGTAGGTGGTTGTAGATGGTTTTAGGTGGTTTTAGGTCGTTCCATGTTTTAGTAACTACGCTATTTACACTGTAAGCTCAAAATAGCTTGCTCCTTTGACTAATGCCTTCTTAGGATAAAACTCCAACAAGCAACTGGGCCTTGAAACAGCAACATGAGCACAGATGAAAGATCATGAAATGGCAACTAGTGACATACAGCTGGATTGAAACTGTGACAACGACGGAAAAAATCTCAAATACAATAGTAAAATACCGAAAGGGCGATGGCTTCCTTCTCAATATGTGAAACTTCAGACTATGGACATACATGTTTAAGCCCTGATAGGACTTCCTCAATGCTTACAGAAATTGTCTCAAATCAAAACCTTTAAGCCAGCTTAAATGATAACATCTTCAAAATTTAATGTAATCCCTGCCTAAGTGCAGACCTCAAGAAAATGTTCCTAAAACCTTAGCAACTAGGGTTTTCCAGCTACTAAATTGTGAAAGATCAATAAATTTGCATAACCCCTGTCAAATCATACCCCTTCAAAACAGGAAGTACGAAACCTCCGGTGTGTGACAAAGGCAGACTGCAGGTAGACGAGGAAAACCTTGTTGTGGAATGCTTTAACAGAGTCCCTATCCCTAAAGTTTAAGTCATTTAAAAGTCTAATTTAGGGATAGGGAATCTGTTAGAGCATTCTAGAACAATGTTTACTTCATTTACTTGCCAGCCTGCAGTCTCTGTTTGTCGCACACTATGAAACCCTACACACACCAGTATATAATTATGAAATGAAATTATTTCTCTTGTGCCTGATTAACACAAATCTTTCATAGGTTCTAAAAATCCTAGGCAAATCTACACTACCTTGAGTTCAATTGCCACACAAATTAACTATGGACAAAAAGGCTGACATAATTGCCAACATTAATTACATCTATTTACTTGGCAAAGGTGTGTGTAAATCAGGACACATAGGACCTGATCTTTCGAGGTGTCAAGTGAAAGAAAATATTTACATACTTTCTAAAACTTGACAGGGGCAAAAAATCCGTATTAAACTAAGATTTATTCAAATCAGCCACGACTAGCAAAGAGTAGCGCTATATGAAAGATACCACAATACTAATAATTGTAACTTACTAATAAAAACCGAAAAAGGAAAAATGTGATATCTTGGCGCGTTATGTGTGAAGAGTTCGGTACACCCAAACAGCTTGAAGTGGAGTTGACCCCGATCTTTAAATTACACGGATCTTGAGAGTGTGCGATAAAATACTACCGTGAAAAAGTTTGCTTTAATGTACATCTGGTGAGTCGCAAAACTTCCTGATCTTCGCCTTTCCTGTCGTGATAAAGCATTCGATAAATTTCTCGGCACGCCATGAAATAACAAAAACATTGTGAAACATCCGGTTTATTCAAGATTTTCGTTTTGCTTTAGGAACACGACTGAATCGCGTATCCGGTTTACACTCTAAGCAAAATTAACGGGAAATCAGAAACAAGGGATATGCGATACAATATTTATTCACAAAAGATGTCCTTTAACATTACTGTAACTTAATTATGTTAACGGTGGAAAGATATGATCGCTTTTTTTTATGGCCACTGCCATTCACCTCAATCTCTATCACATGTCCACGGCAGTCTTTAAAATCACCAGGGTTAACAAAAATTAACTAAGGGCGAAGACCATAAACTCAGCGTGAGCTCATTCTATTATTTAAGCACAGTGTTTGCTAATGTTATTTCATCGTCTGAAATTTAAAAAAAACGCGAAATCCAATATATAAAACCCAAAGCTTTATCGTTTAATTACCTTCGCATTGGTCTGTGGAATTAAGGTGTCTTCGTTCGTCTTGTCACAAAACTGCGAGACAAAATATAACAATAGCACCACAATAATTAGTCGATAAAATTATCAATCATGTTAATGACTTAAAACATCACTTTATTTTAATCAAGATCAGAGTTTTGCTACGAAATTAGAAGCAAGAAATTATATGCGCTGCTTGGCGAGAGCGGTCAATACGATAAGCCGTTTACAAGCATAAAGCTAAGCCGAGCCAAACCCGGAGCCGAACCCTGAATTTCAAATATGCCACGAAAATGTCAGGCCCTTTGCAGAATTAACTCACCGTGTAATCAAATTTGAACAACTTTTCTCGTCTAGTTTCAGGGTTAAGAACTTTCACTTCATTGCCTTGCGTCCCCACAACATATTCTTCGTTTTCAGTTCTTTCTTTTTCTGATAAAGATCGAACTGCCACCGCAACTTTCACTCGCCGTTCCTCGTATGCCATGTCGTGTTCGCTCGAAATCTCGCGCCAAAACAACAGTAGCAACTCATAAAAATTCAAAGGCAACTTTCGCTAACAGCAGTGAAACAAAAGTCTGCAATATCAAACGTTCCCGTTAACCAAACACTTGCCAGTATTTTAAGCTCACAGACCTTCCTCTCATACATGCATGCAATGTGGTCGCGCCGGAAAAATCGTTTCTAAAAGTGGCGGTTTGTAAGATTGAGGCGATGCAAGTAACTTCCGACCGGAAATGACGTTTAATTAAGGGCGCGCTCCAGAAAAAAGCCAAGGTATTCCATTATCGGCCAGTATCGGCCAGCATTGCCAATGCAAAGTTGATCTTCAGGTAAATCACAATTTACACAAAGTAGTTTTTCCTCGTTATATATTAGGGTTAAGTACTGCGTTTTATAGATTAGGGTTAAGCACCTCCTTTTACAGATTAGGGTTAAGCACTGCCTTTATTGATTAGGGTTAAACACTGTTTCGAAACTCGTTAGGTTCTTTCTGGGGGATTGGGATTGAGGCTCTATGTACTTAAAATATTTCCTTTCCTTAACATGGTACATTAGGTTTTCTAGGTCGTGGGTTCAAATCCTACCGCTCTTCATATCAATTTATTTTCTTTCAGATTGAAGAGATTTGCAATTTCATAAACATTTCCAGCTGTAAATATCATCTAAGTGTGATATAAAAGCAGAAAACAGTTCTACTTTGTATACATTTCATGAGGGGAGAAAAGGGCTACGCCCGATGGGATCTAACGCTGACGCCCTCTCTCAAATAAGCGCCCTCTCTATAATTAAGCCTTCCTCTCTTTAACTGTATTGAATTCACATCAACATCTGCATAAGTGACCTGTGTGTCATCAGTATACATCCTAGGCTGGCATGAAGTTGGGCAGTTTGGCAAATCGTTGATGTAAATAAAAAATAAAAGGGGTACCCCGCAAATATTAAAGCGCCCCCTTCCCATCAAATGTGTTTGAACTCAATAAGCATCGGAGGGGGCTTAATAGAAAATTTACGGTATTTTGTCCAGTTTCCGACCGGGACCAGTCCAGTTTCTCGCCTTGACGGGCTTTGGAATTCTTGTCCACAGATCCACTCGGCCTAATTTGTAACGAACCAAGACCTCGTGACCAAGAAACGACGGGCTCCTGGGACGAGAATGGGGCTTTGGCGGTCAATGTTCTCAGCACTTTTGAAGCGAAGGATACATAATCATACATTGGGGTCAAAAATAGGCTCCAAAAAGTAGGATATATAAGAGGCGCTTTCCTTCCAATCTCGTCCTCAGGGCTTTCTCCTCCCATTTCATGGAAAAAGCACTAGGGACGAGATTTCCAATAAACGCCGCAACTAATCGAAAGAACGCGGCGTCTATTCGAGGATGATGAGAAAAAAACTCGGTACAACTTAGCAATCTACACCATCCACGATGTTATCTCAGCAAAATAAGAGAGACATTGGAACCTGTAAAATGCATAATATTTACAAACGAAATATTTACAGCAACTGTTGTCGGTGATTTAAGAAAAGTGATTTCGAAATAAACGCCGCCGTTGAATATACACCGCATTTGAAACGCTGAAAATTAAATAAACGCCGCGGCGTCTAATCGAATAAATGCGGTAACCCTCATATCTAAACTTACTTTAGGAGCCCTCCAATTACCTTCTGAGGGGTGGACTGGGTGATTGAAGAAAAAAATATCTCGCCAACAGACCAAAAAGATCTAAAATGAAAATCTTTTCCATCCAACTAACAGTCATACTTACAGCGGAAAATAAACGTAATCAAGTTCGATCACAATGGGCTTTTTTTCTCCCGAAGAGGGAAGGCTTGTCCTTCCTGTGAAAACTCAAGACTCTTTTGCCTTTGCTGCCTTGTTATTGCTGCGGAGCGACCGAAGGGAGCGAGCAGCAACATAATCAGGATTTAAAGGAAATATATAAGGGGCGACGAATTCTCGAATTCATCACTTTTTACCACAATGCATTGCATTTAACCACACTTTTTACCACAATGCATTGCATTTAACCAGAGTGCATTGCGCCACGAACAACTCAAATAAAACATGGGGAAGTTCGGTGGGTGAGAGAGTGCATCGTTCGCTGCTCAGACTTCTACAGCACGGTTAGAGGTCTTACCAAATTTTAAGACACGCAGGAGTCTTTCAGATGAGTACGATGGTTAACTTGGGGATTGGATTTCAATTCAAGAGCCTTTTTTGACTCGAGAGCCTTTTTTCTCTTCGACTCCGCAACACGGGGGATATACAAATTCCAGCTTGCTAGAAGGTGATGTGAAAGTGAGAAAATGTCATGAAATGCTATTCTTAAGAAACTGTATGAGCCGAAAATGGATGTGATTTTGACCATTCGCTTCAAAATAACAACGGAAATCGAGATAACAAAACATATGTTTTGTGTCCTACTTTGCAGACGAAGACGTGTATCGGCGTTTTGAAAAGCATAATTATGTTCTTTCATTCAATTATTGCCATGGAATATGCTTTTACATTGTTTTTTCACTGTTAATAGCTCGGTTAATGCGATCATCTTGCTGGCGGAAGTTTCATGGAAAAGGAATAAAATGAAAGACTTTTCCTAACGACTACGTTATCAGTGTCTGTGGTATAGTGGTTAAGTGAAGTCGCGTCGAGTCAAAGGTGCCGGGTTCGAATCCTACTGAGTTATTTATTCCTTCTTTCTTTTTTTTTCCCCGTTTTTTGTGTTGTTGTTTTCTATAAATATATAGCTAAATAACTGTTACTTACAGTCAAACCAGGTCAAGCGTTCCCGTCGCTAACAAACTAATGAATTCATTAATGGAAAAATGATTTCGTTTGTTGATTCAATAATCCATTCATAAAATGAATAATCCAACAGTCAAATTGTACCTCGATTCAATAATCAAATGTTGATTTGGTTTATGAACAAAATCTACCTGTTCTTTATTCTTGTCTGTTGTGTTCAATCGTATTTGCTTCCCTTTTCCTGCCGTTTACGATTGCGTTTTTCATTGCCTTTAATCAAAATAACAGCTAGAATAGACAGATCGCAAACGTAAAGAAACTGACAAAGGCCGAGGATCGAAATCCACCAATCACCGCACATACACTGACCTCAGTTTGACCGTCGTGTTTTCTAAGAGGTCAGGCCTAGGTCTGTTGCACTGGTAAGTACTTCATGTCAAGCCATCACTGATTACTGGCAGCAAACTGGCGTACATGTAACAGTTTGTTTGGGTTTGAACTTCGGAACTCGCCAGCTCTCGACTCTCAGAAAAAAAAAAGAGGAAAACACAAAATTCTGAGGTCAACTTGTGGAAAGTGTAATTTTCAAAAAACAGTAATCGAATCAACATTCGATTATGGAATCGAGGGTAAATATGTCTATTGGATTGTTCATTTTATGAATGGATTATTGAATCAACAAACGAAATCATTTTTCCGTGAATGAATTCATTAGTTCGTTAGCGACGGGAACGCTTGACCTGGTTTGACTGTAATAAAGTGCAACAAACAGCAAGAAAAGTATTGTGTTTCCAGGGAAAATATCGTGCACTGTATATTAAATATATGGATAAACGATCTGAATTTCTATTATTTCCTACAATTTACTGTGGGAAAACCAGAGTTGATAACTACTTGATCATTTTCTAAACAACGTTCCCACGAGTTCTTTCTATAGACTGATAGTAATTATTCTGGTACTTTCCAACATGTAAACAGGACATTCAATGTCATTTTTGATTCTTTTAAGTCTCACTGCCTAACTAATGCCAGTATCAACAGAATGTGCCGCAGCATTACTATCTTTTAGATACCCTAGTTAATGTTTAATTTTGTGTTATGATAAAACAGCAGGATTTGGAAGTTTGAAAAACTAGCTTATCAAAACTACGTCATTGAACCCCCACCACACCCCTAGAAAATTACACTAGTCAGTCCAAAAATTTGATGTTGTAAAAGGCATTGAAAAGTATATATGTTTGACAAATTTAAATGAAAGGGATGAAATTAAAAGCCAAAACTAGCTGTAAGGTAATCCAAGACAGCCTTGGTCTCTGAATTCCACACCTTGGATTCGGATTCCAGGCGGTAAGATCTTAATATAGGGATAACCTCATGATCATGAAAAAACCGCCTATTGTGAGTTTACTATGTCAATGTGACTTGTGTGATGCAAGTTATGTAGGTTATACACTGAGACACTTACACCAACGCGTGTTTGAACACAAAAATATGTCTTCCGCCATTAGCACACATTTTAAGGATAAGCACTCTACTGTCAAGAAGATCTTGAAGTTAAGAAGTGCAACAACAAGTTCGATTGTTTAGTGCACGAAATGTTGCTAATTAGCTAGTATAGGGAACTAACACCCTCTGTAAATGTCCAATCGGACTCAATTCAAGCAAAATTTTTAAAGTGACTTTGCATATTTCATATATGCTAATCATCAGCCAAAACATTTTTTGTCAGGCAACGTGTCCGGCGCTCTCCAAAGGTGTCTAGAGGAATGCGTAAAACTAATTACGAAAGTAACGCTTATCTGTTACTGGAAACCGATTTGCGGCGGTTGCTGTGGAGATTAGGCTTCCTCCTGCGCGCACTAAAATCGGGGCTCTGGCCTGCTATGACCTAATGACCGTCCTAGCTTCAGGTGTCGTAATGGCTACCTGTAAACAGTGTATGTATGCATGTACTATAGCACGGTATTACATAAAACTGGGCTCGTGTATTAGACGCATACTGGTACTAACGTATAAGCTATCATTCGCCCTAAAAAGGACGTATGCGCTTAAAACTCAGCCTCGTCCCAGGCTAGTTTGCGCTATCTGAGTGAGCAGAGGCTCGAAACCGAGCGCGATAGCGAATTTTCGCGACAAGCTTGACAGGTGACGTCACATCCAAAATCGCTGAAGATGACTGGGAACGAGGCTACTAAAAACTAATCTGATCATAAGCCCTCATTTCGCATCAAGAGATCGATACGTTGGTTTCATGTCTTGTATGACTCTGACTAATTTGGCCGTTGCCATACCGACCAAGACTTAGAGCCCTTTTGAAGGCCGCCTGAAACTGCGGATTCATTATCCCGTATACAATTGGATTTGCTAAACTACTAGTGAACATAAGAAAAATAACAGCCGAAAAAATTCCCCTGGGGATAAAACACCCTACACTCTCTACAATCACAATAACAGATACTGGTCCCCACGTCATTACAAATACACAAACGACCGTGAAACTAGTTTTCAGGAGTCTGATATCAGTTCTATGGCGTCCTGCCGAGACTGCTCCATCTACACCATGCGCATTCAGATTTCGAGTGCTTTCTTTAAGAGTCTTGTAAATCTTGTAGTAGGAGTAAAAGATTGCAAGGGTTGTTCCGTTGACCACTCCGCCCACAACAAGTATGGCATATGAAATATACTGAATTTCCCAGGTGAAAGTGCAGACAGCAAAGTAGGGATGGTAGGCCATCTTGCCCCACCCATACAAAGGCGGTGTTGCCAGAAGCAAAGAAGCTACCCACACCAGAGCGCAGTAGACTCGTGCCATTCTCTTGCTTGCAAAAATTTTGCTATACAAGGCTGGTTTGACGACTCGGAAATATCGGTTGAAGGAGATAAGCCCCATATTCAGGATAGAGGCAATACCCAAAGTAAATTGGATCGCTGCTTGAAACTCGCACCCCTTCTCGCTAAAAATCCAAGTCCCTGTATACAGGCTTGTTACCCAAAAAGGCATGTGCAGCGATGCCATGGAAATGTCAGTCAATGCCAGGTTGTGGATGAATATATTCGTTACGCCCTTAAGTCTGGAATCTTTATTGACAACATAGACGACCAATAAGTTGCCAAGAATGGAGGTGAGGCAAATAAGAATAGACAAGGTCACTTCCAAACTTATTTCAGTGGGAGAACGTTCTAGTGGATCGTGGGTACTCGATCTACTTTGAGAACTGTCCGCCATATTATGATAAACCAGCCTGCAAAATGTATATAAAAAATATGATAAAATTAACAATAGCTGAATAATGATAATAATCACTAATAATAAAAATGATAATAATAATGGATTTATTGTTATTCACACCAAGTATTTCGTCATTTTTTTATTGGCCCAAATCCCGCCGACTAAAAGTCTTCATATCCAGCTGGCGTTGACTAAATTTGGAAGACGTGAGCTATATTAATACCGTCGATTCGATGGTATATTGTACTAGCAGCCTCGCTTCTAGGCATATCCCTTTCGATTGTACAAAGCTTGAGAGCGCGGTAGCCTAGCGTTCACTGCCCGAAGAAGAAATAGCGAAATTTATCTCTAGAACTGAACGGAATAAGTCTAAATATCATCACATAAACAACGCGTACTCGTGGAATATATAATTGCTAAAGAAAATTCGTTTACGTTCATCATAACAACTTGAGACTCTCTTCTGAAAATAAGAAATAGATTTTATGGGCCGCGCTAAATCTGATAAAATACCGGCGATGTTTTTTGCCTACGTAATGACCAGTATAAGGACTGTTGGCTAAGTTGGCTCAGAAATTGTTTTGCTGTTAAACTGACCGGCTGTAGCCAGAAACCTCAAATGGTCCCAAATTTTTACCAGCGAGTGATATTTTATGCCTCATGGCACGTTCATTTTTCACACAAAATGTAAATCCTAGATATGTATCCATTTAAGCAACTTCAGTTAAAAATACAAAGCGTTACGTGCCACAAAATCTTGACTGCGAATCAGATTACAATTGGTAAAAATAGCATAATGGCTATTATTGCCAATTTTATGAGTCAAGTAAGTACAAATCAAAACTATTTCATTTCATTATTCACTCTAAAGGGTAAGACCGCAAGATTTCAGTTACGTGTTTGCAATATTTGTCATATTTTTTAGCAAACCCAGAAATGGAATCGTGCACAAACAGATCATTGCATTTGCTAGGCGCAAGCAAATAGCAGCAAAGTCATTTGGTTTTAATCCACCCCAAGCATGGTTAACTGTGTATTTTCCTTCCTCCGTCATATATGGGCCAGGCTCCGCGTTAAATACGAGAATCATCTGTGCGGTCGGCATAGTGATAATCTCATATCTTGAAGGTCTTTTCAGAGCAACTACTTTTCAAACAAATACAAGCGATACTTGTCATCAACGTGTAATTCCGAACCTGTATTTAAGTAAACATCGCTGAGATGAGTTTTGTATTTCATAAAATTTTCTGAAACACCTGCTGCCAATCGAAAAGCAGACGATTCCTGTTCACTTTTAAAAATCAACGGCTCATGCATACGATAGAAAATCTTAGCGTTACCTTTTAAATGTGCTTAAAAAAACGAACTTAATAAAATAAAATTAATGTTAAAGCGTCCGACTTGTGCATTAACCGATGCTTTGCCCAGATACCTCAAAGTTTTATTAGTGTGATCATTGCTTTTCAGATGGTTAAGTATAGTTTAGTCGACTTCCTATATACGTTTATGCTCAATTGTGTTGTCATGTCTTCTGGATTTCGTTTTTCAGTAATGACTAGCGAGAATTTTTCCCTATTGCCTATCAAAACCTTTTCTCTTACATTTATCCATTCGCTCTTCAGAAATGGGCGGTTGGATAACGTTGCTTTAACAAGTTTCCCCCGATAATTCAGGAAAAATCTAGTTATCATTATCTCTCCGTGTCAGAAATTTTCTTCATTTACTCTACTCACCCGTTTAGAAAAATTGGCTTGATTGTGAATCTGTCTATCTTTCCAGAAGGATAGAATTCTAGGCTGTTGTATCATCGGCTCTTTGCAAAACACTTCTGTCAATTTTGTCCAGTACGAAACAGAAAACTGAGTAGTAGACAAAGGTGGGAATCCGTCCAAGGCAGAGCAATAAGCAAGATTTACTTTAATTGGCTGTTATAGCTGGTAAGCAGGACGGAAATTTAATTATACACGAAATTCCAAATAACTTGGCTGTTCTTATCTAAACATCAATTTTCTTTTTCAATTTGATACCGAGTGGCAGCGACATATGTACACCAGTCCTTTTTACCGTGCAAAAATCTTTTCATTCCCAATGGTGTGTAAAAAAAAGTTTTTTCTTATCATGTTAAAGAAACACAAATTAATCATTTTTTTGTTTATCTTGTCTTACATGTAAAGCTATAAAAGAATATATCTGAAATTGAAAAGTCCCCGCTGGATTCTTTCCTTACCCCTACAGGGCTCTATATTTTTCACTCTACAGCTATTGTCACTTGATTTTGTTTCGGCGCGCGAGGTGAATGCGTAGAACAGTTCTTGAACGCACTAAGGGGATCTCAAGCTTCCTGCAAAATGGTGCTGCTCGCAGTCTCGATCTTCCCATCAATCCCGAGAAATCTTTGAAACTGATGTTGTTTGGAGTTCCTCAGAACACTCAGTCGAATACCAAACATTTCTATCTAGTCCTTGAAAGAGCAACTAAAACTCGTTTCATCATGTAAAGATCTGGGACAAGTTCTATATCCGAGACTTTCATTTAAATGAATACATCTATTGGGCGAATTAACGCCTTCCCTCTAAGTAGCAAAACTATTACTTTCAGGAAAAACTAGAGATGTTTACCTATAAATACGTATAACATTCATTGGGAGATGGTGCAGGTCAAACATTTTAAAGCGCCGCAAAAAATACCAAATTTTCAATTTTCAAGAAGTGCAAATTAACTGGCCAAGGCGGGACAAAATACTTGGCGCCCCCCATTTAATTTTATGAGCTTTGGTAACAAAGAGATGAATAGTATTTTGATTGTAAAGACTCGCGAACTTGGTTGCCCAGAAACGCAAATTGATCAGTATTGTCTTTCATGTATTAACAACTCATTTGAACTGAGGAACGTTCGTGCTCAAGCAAGGTTCTATCCAGATGGGACCCGTGATTTAAACATTAACCTCCAGCCTGACAAGAAAGTTGAGCCTGTTTTTGTCACTGATGGCGAGTGTTAGCAAAATATCATTGAACAAATGAAAAATTAAAAAAAATTGACAGGAACTGAGTTTGTCAAAGCCTGAATTTAAAAGTGAGAAGAAAGGGAAACCAAAAACATTTCTAATCAAATCTTTTGCTTTGGTTTTAGAAAAATTCTCGAAAATGAGGTGTGTTTTGATCAAAGCTGTGTAAACACTGGTAAATCGACCTGAATCAGTGCATGGAATCTTGCCTTTCCTGCTTTTACATGATCTCACGTATGGTATGCATGGGATATCTAAGGAAATCTTTAGTATGAATCGGTATGTTTCAAAAAGTGACACCTGACAGGCAAAGGATGACAAACGACAAAATACAGAGTGAGGACAGCTGTTGCGTCAACCAGTTGTAAAACAACCACGACAGAGGACCCAAAACAGAGCCATGTGGAAGACGACAGAAATTTCCAACTAACCTCGTTTTTAGAATTATTCGAGCCGACTTTGTTGTTTGGCGTCTGTTATTCAGGAAAGAAGAAAACCAGCTATTGACTACACATCTAATTCCGTAAATAGAATTCTCGTGTTTCAGTTTTATTTTAATGTTTGAAAAGGGATCTTTAAATTCTTGAAACATTTACACTTTTTTGATTTTCTTTTCTCATTAATAACTTGAATGGCAACTGTTGCAACTTTGATTTTTATTATTCCTATACTTATCGAAAATCAGAACATCAACAACAGGTCATCTTCTAGGTGGCAAATAACACATTTTTTAACGTTACTACCTTACCTTTCAATATATAAAATTCACCAAATTTCTGAGAAGTTCGGCCTCGTTACTTTTGAAAAGTACTCCTCCCAGCTCTGTTTTCACTGTACTCTGTATTATTGAAATGCTATCTAATGAAGACTAGATATATGGCTTTCAGTATGACGTCTCTAAGAACCAAATTTCCATAAATAAATGACGACAATTCAACACTGAATGTTTGCTTAAGTTTGAAGTAATTTGCCTTCTTTTGTATTGCCCATGCAGTATTGTCTTCGGCTTTTCTGGCGACAAAGTGATTTTACTTAACTGCAATAAATTACTTTCCTTTTCTTGTTGTGAAGATCCATCCTTTTTTAACAATGTGCTTTTCATAGTAATAATAAATCTTTGATTTCAAATGCTCAGTAATCAAAACCAAGTGTAACTCAATGCACGGCTTCAGTGGCCCTGACTTTTAATAGTTATGCAATAAAATAACAAAAGCGAACAATTAAACCAAGGAATAAAAAGAAATGCTTAATATTAAAGAATAAACTTTAATTTCTGAAATAAGTGAAGTTATTTTGTTTAGCCAAAGTGCGATTAAAGGTCAGTCAAAACTATTCTTGTATTGACTATATATTGTGTTAGTTGCTTTGGATAGATAAAAGAACTGAATTGAACTGCAACCCATGCTAAAGGAAATATGTTTAAGTAGGGGGCAAAACTGTCATTTTAACATGGTAATTTCAATTTCTAGATCATCTTGACTGATCAGAGCTGATGTAATCCTGCTGCTCGAGACTGAATAGATGATTTCGTCCTCAAGTTGCTTTGTTTTGCGTATAATATAAAATAACTTGATATCACAATTTTTCATCAACACAACATTAACAAAACACGAACTTATAGGTGCAGATAAAAAAATGAGTCTAATAAATATATCCTCGCTGAAAGCGTAATATTTTATTAAAAAATTATTAAAGACAACGTTAGAAAGCGTGTCAGCTGTTACGCGTTATTTTAAGAACTAAATACCGTCCGAACTATTCTCACAATTGTTCGTTCTGCCTCATTTTGTAATAGTCGCGGATTATCAGTGATGAATGGAGGTTACCTATTTTGTAATAAGGGTCACAGCTGCTATCATGCCCTATACTTCAGAGCGCCAGTTACGTTGTTACAAGTTGTGCAGACCGACGATTATTACAAAATACTTCAGATCTTAGAAAAGCTAGCTTCTATTTTCTTAGCCTGCGCTTCCGTAGCCCTAAACTAAACCGG